TTCTGCTGCTGTAACCCATCTGCTTCAAGGATCGACGTGTTGTGCGTTCAGAGATGGTATTCTGCATATCTTGGTTGTAGCAAGTAGTTATTTGAGTTACTGTTGCCTTTCTATCATCTTGAACTAGTCCGCCCATTCTCCTCTGACATCAACAAGGCACTTTCGCCCACACAATTGTCACTCACTGGATATTTTCTCTTTTTCTGAACATGCTCTATAAACCCTATAGATGATTGTGCTTGGAAATCCCCTTAGATCAGCAGTTTTTTAAATACTCGGACCAGCTCGTCTGGCACCAACAACCATGCCATGTTCAAGGTCACGTAAATCCCCTTTCTTTCCCATTCTAATGCTCGTTTTGAACTTCAATGAGTTGTCTTCATGATGTCTAGATGCCTAAATGCATTGAGTTGCTGCCATGTCATTGGCTGATTAGCAATCTTTGTCACCAAGCAATGAAACAGGTTAACCTAATAAAGAGGCCTGTGAGTGTATGTTCCTGGTGCATCCTCTTATGACCACACCTTTCATCCTTGTTCTTTGTTACCTGATCATAGGTGTCTGCTACACATGTCAGATGTGGCCTCTACATAGGCCATTGAAAATCTAATATGGTAGATAAATGACCTATTTATTAGTATCTGTACTGTTAGGCTATTTTTATGTTATGGATAGGACTGCATAGTGGTGTGGTCTTGGTGGCCTTGGTAGTGGTGTCTAGTTGCCTCCTAATGCTGGGGACACTGGAAGTGCTGTGTAATGATAGCCTTGTTGCACAGTTTGATGAACAGTCCAAAAATGGGCTACCGCAGAAAAATGTTTGTGTTTTAATGAGTAGCTGTAGTTGAGAGAACCTTGTTCTTGCTTCTCGGAGTTGAGGTGTATTTCCATCTGTCCTCATCTCCTTCTTCCTGTGATTCTAGTGTACTCTGTCTTTCAGCAGTGGAAATGAGCTCGAGGTTCCTTGGTTGTGTAGAAAGTAAATTTAGAATATGTCTAATGCTTTCTAGGAGCCACTGCAAAGCATTTGAATACGGTTATCCGCCAGGCTGTCAAGCTGATCTAAGTCACCGAATTAGAACAACCATGTAGTAGGTGAGGTCAGGATACAATCTACAAGTTTATTTTGGGTCAATTAAAGTATTGAAGCCATTAGACCAGTATGATGACCAGGCAGCTATAATTTTGGGAAGGAAAGAACAGTTATTGGAAGCATCTTCATTTCTCACAGGATAGGCTTCCCGCAAGTTAAGTTTCATGAATAGCATTTATTAACAAAATGCTTGATTTTGTTGCCAGTAATTTCTCTTTAATTGTAGGGTGCAGGAAAATACATCTTTTCTGTACAGAAAGAGCAAAGCATTTATGTGTAATTTCAACTGCTTAAAGGCATTGTGTGATTTTTTTTTTTTTTTTTTTTTTTTTGTATTATTTAATTTGTTCTGCAGTAAAAAAATAACTTTTTTTTTAATTTGGGTAAACATAAAATATTAAATATTTAAAAAATGGACCGTGCTAAGGTCACAAATTGACTAAATAAATTGTGCAGTCTATGAAGTGACACCAATAAGCAAAATACAAATACAATATTAATATTCAGTCACAACATGTGAATAATCAGTGCAACGGTGCTGTATCTTTAACGGTGATACTCCATGCTGAAATGACAAGTGCTTCACTGTGTTCACACTGGTGCCCCACATAGATGTAAATTCACTGTCATTTCATGACCACCTATCTCTAGGTAAGTCACACTGATGGCCGATATTCCTTCGCCTTTATAACCGAGGTTGCTGGTAGTAACCAATAACTTTCCACTAGGACTGTATCAATGTCCGGAAGCTCCTTTCCTCCACAGGCAGTATTTCATATTTCCAGCATAAATTAAAACAAAACCAGACATCCCATAGTGTAAAACTGTATAGAGCTTTAATATGGGGTCAAACAATAGAAATGCCACTCACAAAAAAGTGCCTTTCTGGTACTAGGTGTATTCAGCTTTGTGTATTGTGAATGGGAATTAAGATGGCCACCACTTTCCAGCGTGCGTTTCAAATACCGGAAGTAAATGTATAGTCCCAAACGCACACGTTCCTGCGTTAAAAATGGCTGTGTATAAGTGGGTGCTGCAGCAACCGTCGGCTGGAACCGAATAAAATCAACAAGGAAAAATGTCACCAGCACACCAAGGATCACCGATATGGGTCCAAAGGTTTTAATGAACGATCACATAGTTACAGCAAGGCAACGTTTCGGAGTATCGCAGGACATCCATGATGGCAGTGTGACGGTCACTCCGAAACGTTGCCTTGCTGTAACTATGTGATCGTTCATTAAAACCTTTGGACCCATATTGGTGATCCTTGTTGTGCTGGTGACATTTTTCCACTCCAAATACTGACGTCAGCGGAAGTTGCGTCATAAGCCCTCGACGCGTTTCGACCAATAGATCGTCTTCAGGAAGTACAAAATCGGCCATATTGAAGAGAGTATTTATACCCTTCAGTCACTAATTCAATTCCAATTATACTTCATCTGTGGCACTCGTTTTTTTATAACTATAATTAACTAAAACATGGCTGAATACAGCCAGTGCCCACATAAACTATAGATATACATAAACAACAATTTTATTAAATATATATATGATATCATTTTGGAAATGGTCACTGCATGGTGTTCTTAAAGGGGAAGGTTCCCTAATGCATGTTACTACACACAAATAAGGCAAATGCATTCATAAACAAAAAAAATGTAAAAAATTAAAAACAATTATCCCTGCTGCGTCTCTACATTCAGAAATAACTTTGGATATTTTATTATGGAAAATTGTATATATTAATCTCAATAAAAAATTATGTAAATAATATTAAATAATACCAAAATTAAAATAAAATATAAAAGTTCCAAATTGAACCCTATCCATAATGTCATTATAGTGGATTTATTCCGTACTAAACCATGACATTCTGGAGGGGGAATGTCCCCATATATATTCAAGGTGCAAAATTACTAAATTTGCTGTGAATATCACTATATGCCTACGTTACTTACTATATATATATGTGTGTGTGTGTGTGTGTGTGTGTGTGTGTGTGTGTGTGTGTGTGTGTGTGTGTGTGTGTGTGTGTGTGTGTGTGTGCGTGTGTGTGTCCATGGCGATCAAAATAAATGTAAAATACCCCAATGTTATACATTATCTGTAAATTGAAAAAAATATATTATGAAAATTTATTTTTTAGGACCAAGAGATTTCAATATATATTTAGATCAATTTCCACATTTAACCCTTCTGGCGCTAATGTTTGGAGTTCATTAAACCATTGGGTTTTGTTTTTTGAAATTTCTCTGGTCATGTGTGATCCTCGCCAATGTCTGTCTACTTTATCTATGGCAAGGAAGGATAAATGAGAGGGGTCTTTATTGTGTACCAATTTGAAATGGTTGGATACACTGTGCTTAGGATGACCTTTTTTTATATTAGTAATATGTTCACTGATCCTCTTAGTAAGTTTATGGGTAGTTCTTTCTATATATTGATAGCCACAAGTACAGCTTAACATATAGGTTACATATTTGATCTGGCAAGTAATTAACATAAAATATTGCATATGCATTTTTTATATTTATCATTTGAAGCCAAAAGGTGGTGCTGTAAAGGCAGGATTTGTATTTTTTTTTTTTAATGCCTAATATGATTTGTCCTTCAGTTTTGATTTTAACAGACACAACTCCAATGAGTGACAGGGCAGCCTATCCAACACTGTTTGGATTATCAGAGAGACTTAAAGAATGTGAACTGTATTGTTGCTGTATTGTCTCCCGTTCTATTGTAAAGCGCTGAGCAAACTTGGTGCTATTTAAATCCTGTATAATAATAATAATGTGTTAACCCAAAATTTCACATTCCTGATATGTGCCTGCTGTACTATGTATTTGTAGGAAAAAGTATCCTGTTCTCTTTATATTGCTTCCTTCCTGGTGTTACTGCCAGACCCTCTGCTTTCCTATTAGAAAACAAAAAAACCATCACACTAGGCATGAGCGCACAACATGGTCTCTTTTCTAGCTGTGCTGAGAACTCCTCTAATGATTATACTTGTGCTGACACGCCCCCCCTGCACATCCGCTCACTGGGAAGATCAGTGTGCTGCTGTTTCCCCTCCCTCAGATCTCTAAGATCCTTATGCAGCTGAGAACAGATGGTATGTGATCATATGTATAGTAAATAGGGGGAAAAGGTGTTTATAATATGTTTTACATGTATACACTCATGTTTTCAATGCGTTTAAATTCTAAACAGAATCGATTGTTTTACAAGGTGAGGGTTTACATATACTTTAAAAAGTGGACAGCCAGTGCTGGGATTTCTTGTTAGAAAATCTAAGATCATTTTAAAACGTGTAAACATTTAAAACAACTGAAATAAAAGTGAATTAAAATTATTAAAGTTTGCTTTTTAGGTGTTTTTTTTTCCTTGATTAACTGTCATTCTTATTCATTGAGTTATATGATACTCTCATTCTCCATCTGTTGTCTTGAAGCAGAAACAGAGAGGAAAGACTTGTGAAGAAAATGACATCTAGTCGAGTGTAACTGGTACACAGATAGTTCATAGAGACGTCTCTAATCTTCACTTTGCTGTGATTGCATTTAGTTGTTAATAACTTGTTGCAGCTGTAGGATGTATTTACTGCTTTTATGTGGCTATATGGCCGTATTGAGAGCCCTTTTGTATTAACAGTATCGGAAAAGGGTACTTCAGCACAGCCTTTGATCAATACGTTTAATCTCATTTATTTTCTGCTGTACAAGTCACTTTTCCGTGTGACAGAATGCATTACTCTACTCTGACAAGACTGCATAGGTGATCTAGTATTCTGTATTCACGAACTGTATTGTATATAAATGCGTCTCCTCAAAAGCAGAGGTTTATGTTTATGGATTATCTTATTTCCAGGAATAATTATTGTTCCTTCTTTCTGTCATTTCTCTTGCAGAAAGAAATCCAGGCAATGAGTCAATGTCATCATCCCAACATTGTGTCATACTATACCTCCTTTGTTGTTAAGGATGAGCTCTGGCTGGTAATGAAGCTACTGAGTGGAGGTAAGATATATATATATATATATTTTTTTTTTTACATTTTCTCCACCTAGCTAGTATGTCTATTAGAACAAGTTCTATGACAGCCATTTCTCAATTAAAAAGCATCTCCAGCTTACTGTATTTTGTAGGCCTGTCTGTTGAGGCCACCATAAAAGAAAGTAGAAAACATGTAAATAGTAATAGAATCATCTGGATGTGCTATTGGCATTCAGACTATTTTCTTCTATTGGCTTTTATAGCACCACTTTTAACCCTGCAAACACCCTCTAACGGGTTATTTGGAAGTCTGTGTGGTGTGGTTTGATGTATTGATGTTGAGACCTGAGTAATAAATAGAGGAGTACTGCCAGTTGTGCAGTGGAAACCATTATCTGCTAACAACTATTAAAGTGTCACTAAACCCACAACGTAAAATCAGTCTGTATATGCAGTAAAGCATGCTTGTTATACTCACTGTGGAACGTAAGGGGTAATCCTCTGCTTTTTGTAAAAAGGATATTTGATCCCCATTTCATCTCCTGATAGAACAGAGCCTCTCGGGACACTGCACATGCTCAGTTTGGTGTGTATTGCTGGAGAGTTTTTCCTTTTTCTTGGCAGAGTGCATGTGATCAGCACAGGGCCAGTCAGCACTGTCCAGATAGAGGGTCAGGGGCTATGCAAACTCATAGGGCAGTGAGAGGAGAATGAAAACTCCTACAAACTTTAACCAGTGCTCAGCTGGACACTGATAGAAGTCACAAGACTTCTCTAACTGCTGATGAGAAAAGGTATTTAGCAGTTTATATTTACTAAAATAATTGCAGTTCCGTGTTCTGTGTACTGTGGGAGACCAGATATAGTGAATGCAGTGCCCTGGGTTTAGTAAAACTTTTTAAGTTGCTCATACATGAATTGATTTGAATGATTCGATTTGATTAATCCAGAGTGTGTGGATGGGGGAATCCTCCCCACTGAGCTATTGTATTCTGACAGTTGGGAGAATTTACTGTCAGAATACACTGATCAATGTCTGCATGCTATAAAGCTGGCAGCACTCTTCATGTGGCAAAAATCTGACAGGGTGGTTGTACAGAAGTTGATTGGTAGATCTACTTCCCCGCAACCACTCTGCCCATACATGTGTCAACATTTTTCCAGTCCCTGCTGAACCCCATGAATTTCAATCCACCTGTGGCCGGCTTTACACTTTTAAAGAGACAGGTTGTCTGGAGTAGGCTGTATCTGCAGATTGTTAAATAAACACATACGAGGTGTGACAATATAATTCCCAGAATACGAAGTGTGACAATTTAATTCCCAGAATGACTACAGCGTAGCGCTTTTGTTGGTGAGTCACACAGCCATTTGCACTTGAGTATGTTCTGGCATGTTCTAACTTGCACTCACTGGGTCTCAGACCTGTTGACTCAGTATTTAAGTAGAAGAAGAAACGTGTGTCCGTTGAGCTGTTGGTGGAAAATGAGTGACAGGAATCTGAGGCAGTGGATTAGCATCAAATTTTGCTTGAAAATTGGCAAAAGTGTGCGTAAAACTGAGACTTATGGTGAACATTCCATGAAGACATCAGGTGTTTTTTTTTAAATGACATGGGCGGTTTACAGGGAGGAGGGAAGATGTCCACGTTGATGCAAGACGTGGGCAGCCAAAAATGCAAAGAATGGATGCAAATGTGGACAGAGTGCGAACCCTCATACGTCAGATCAAGATTGAGTGTGCGGATGATGGCAGAAGAATTGATCGTGAACAAGGAAACCGTGAGGCAGATTCTAATAGAGGATTTGGAAATGAGAAAGAGCTACACAAAGATGGTGCCTTGAATTTTGACAGAAGATCAGAAAAAACATTCCCTGCAAGTTTCATCTGATCTTTTGAATAATGCAGAGGTGTTTAATTTTTTTTTACAGTCCATTTCGGGTATTACATTTTCACCTCATAGAATACTTTAATCTATGTACTATATTAGCACACCCAAGTAACCAACAGCAAACTAGAAACTAGTGAGGTAATAATGCATTTAAATATATTTTTTTTAGTCAAAATTGTTTTTTTCTAATACTTCCCACCACCACAAAAATCTAAATGCCTTGAAGTGAGGACAGTCATCCAATGTAACGATTCCTAAACAATTTGTAGGGGAGGACCTGTCTCTTAAAGAAGCTAACAATCTAATGTCCCAAGTTTGCAAAGAAGCCAGTCCAATGTTTTTCAATTGTGTTAGGAAACTTGAGCTTCAGGAAAAAACCTCAGCTTACTTTTAATCTCAATGCTATGTCCCCATTGGGATTCAAACCTTTGCTAGGGAGCTGCTAGTGAAGAGTACAAACCACTAGACCCCATATAGTCTTTACTGTGTACTTTCACAGAGGAAGGCACCAGTGGACCTAGGTTAGGTGCATTTGTAACGAGATTTAAATATACCAGAATGTTTGTAGTTATGTTTTTAGATATACAATGTTTAACACACTGTAAGGCCAATATTTTTGGAATGACTATGTAGATGGCTGCTTGTGGGTTCTTTGTGCATAGGTAGGTCTAATTGGTTTCTTCTTGCTGTCCACTTTCCCTCTTCCATAGCCATAAACATTCAATGGCTCAAGCTCAGATTTACACAACCACCTTAACGGAACTCAATGGAATGACTTATTCCCCTCCCTTACCTTCCTGCTCTGGTCAGAAAGACCTATGAAGCTTCAGTCGGAAAGAGAGAGTCTGAAAGTAAATTGCTTTTGCTGTGCTTTCTCTTTAGAAAACCCCTTCTGCAACATCAGTGCCATGAATACATTCACTCAATTATATCTGTTTAAAAATTTTGTACACCTAGTAAAAAAACTCATTTTAATATATATCAATTAAAATATCAATATCAATTAATATCGAAACCGTACTCTCGCAAGACCTCCTGCTCCCTTGTTTCCTCCTCCCATGCTCGTCTCCAGGACTTCTCCAGAGCTTTCCCCATCCTCTGGAACTCTCTACCCAATTTATCAGACTATCGCCTACTCTGCTCACTTTTAGGCGATCTCTGAAAACCTATCTCTTCAGGGAACCCTATCCTGCCCTCAGCTAATAACGGAATCTTCTACTCTTCCTACCAGTCCATCCCCCACAGTTATTACCTTTTGTACCACTAACCCCTCCCTCCTAGATTGTAAGCTCCAAGGAGCAGGGCCCTCCTATCCCTCTTGTATTGAACTGTATTGTTGCTGTATTGTCTCCCTTTATATTGTAAAGCGCTGAGCAAACTGTTGACGCTATATAAATTCTGTATAATAATAATATCAAGATCGACTGCTATGGTAACAGTGGAAGCGTTTTGTACCCTGTCTGTCCATAGAACATCCTGAAAAATCTGAGTGTGGTTGGCTCACTGCATTTCCACATGCCCTGCATAGAGCTTGAAGTAAAATTTCAAGCATCCCCAGTCCTTTGTTGTACTGCAAGGAGCCTTTATTGCAAGGGGAAAAAATTTCTACACTGGGCCTATAGATCTAGTATTTCTTTTATCATTGCAAAGGGACTGATTTTGTGAATATAGTGTTCCGACGCTCTCATTTAGCAGTCTGGTATAGAAAGTTTGTGCTCTGTAGTTACATAGGCCACTGCACTAACAGGTATGTATCTGCATTGAAGTTTGCTTACGCTTCAGGCAAGAAAAAGCACATGCAGTTATGTTTTAGTAAACCATTAACAATATTTTTACACTCGTAGAAATTGCACCTGAGTTTATTTTGCTAATCCACCTTCACTCCCCTTCATAACTGCACTCACATCCAGAGAGGGAGATTCATCGCTGTCAGCCAGTCAGTGCTCTATTGCTTTGTAAGCTTTAGCTGAACGGGAGAAATATAAAAAATTCCTTGATTGACGATGAACAGCTTGGGTGATAGAATCTTCCCTGCTGGCTATTGTGTTCAGACAAGCCAGCACCTGCGACTATCTGAACACCTGAACAGGGACTGCATCTGATTAGATGCAATCACTTTGGTTGACATTTTTTCACCCGGCTTTGATTTTTTTTTTGTCAGCAAGAATTACTGGAATTATGACAGACTTAAGGAACAGAACTTCACAAGCCATTTTTACCTATAGCCAATAATCATTTTCAATCAATCAGAATCAAATTCTGGAGGTTTTGGAGGCCAGGTCAACAGCTCAAACTCGTTGTGTTCCTCAAACTATTCTTGAACCATTTTGTAGTGTGGCACACTCCTTTTATGTTAGAGAATACCGTTTCCATGAAGGGGTGTACTTGGTTAGCATCAATGTTTAGATAGGTGGTACATGTCAAGTAACATCCACATGAATGGCAGGATCTGAGGTTTCCCAGCAAACCATTGTGCAAAGCATCACCTTGCCTCTGTTGTCTTGCCTTCTTCCCATACTGTATCTCTGTGCCATCTCTTCCCCAGGTAAGTGATACACACATACCCAGCCATTCACAAAATGTAAAAAAAAAAAAAAAAAACGCTGTTCACCAGACCAGGCCACCTCCTTATATTGCTATGTGGTCCAGTTCTGATGCTCATGTGCCCCATTGTAGGCCCTTTGGCTGTGGACCTGGGTCAGCATGGACACCCTGCCCAGGCTGTGGCTATGCATTCCCATACACAACAAACTGTGACGCTCCATTTTTTGTCTTTCAACACATCAACATCTACATGTTTACTTGCTGCCTAACTATGGCTGGTGTGTGTGTATAAAGTTATGGTTGATCGTTATTTGTGTGTAAAAAAATAAATGTCTTCTTAAGCTTGGCATTATATTTGCTTAAAATTTAAAATGGAATAGAATTCTCTCAAACCAACCAACCCCCCCCCCCCCCCTTTTTTTTTTTTTTTTGCCCTAAAACAATCATCTACAAGTACCTCTCACTTGTGATCATACTGTGATGCCAATTATTTTAGGTTTTGATTGGGAAGAGCCTTGTAGGAGATGCATTGGCAGCAATTAGATCCAGAAGATAATTAGACCATATATGATTGAATGATTTGTTAATCCTGAAGGTTATGCAAAATATCTGGTGAGAGACATTTAATTAACAATCTGACTGGTGTAAGACTTGTCATATCTTCACACATTGACATTAGTGTTAATTCTCTCTTGTGATGTTCACCCATGAATGACTAACTGCCACTTGGTGTAGTTGGTAAGCTTCAGCGAAAAATGTTATTTCATTTTTATTGTTCTGCATGTTGGAAGTGAAGATAATGGTGGTTTATCTTGCTATATGACAGTAAAGTCTTTAAGTACAAATATTTTCCAAATTCCGCAGCCTGATTACCACTTGGTGAGCTTGTTACTTGTTAAATATTTTTGTAGCTCAGTTGAGAAACACTCCTGCTAATTTAGGAAGTGTTGGAGCACCCTTGTGGGAGATAATGAGCATGGAGCTTACAGGGATTTTTCAGATGTGGAGAAAGTAAGTCTTTTTCTTAAAGAACTGTGATCCTTTTCATTGTCAAGGACAAAAAGTAGCAGATGAACAAGCTACCATAAACTTTTTTTTATTATTTTTATTTTTAACAGCTATAACTGTTTTGGTTTGAAGAGAACAGGAAAGGGTCAGAGCCTCTTAAGTTTTAATTGCTGGTTCATCAGATAAACAGGTACAACTTGTGTAGAAGAATTTGTTACATCTTTGTGTATCAACTGAGGCTAGTCACTTCACTGAGGCGATATGTAAGGGTTTACATCCACTTTAATGAATTCATATTATATGAAAAAAATAACCATAACAACGAGAGGCTGTACAAGCATTTTTTTTTTCAATCTGGGTTGGTGGCAGGTGTGAACATCAAACGGCTACCAGATGCATTTGGGATATTCTGCAGTAATTTGCAGTAAAATGGGATCTGATCCTCATCAAAGTCACAACAATAGAAAAACACAATGTGCTTTAGCTGATAACACAAACAATTGTAATTTTTCATTTATTGAACACACCCAGTAAACATTCAAAGTGCCACAGAGAAAATTGAACCCACATACTAATTACTTCAATGAAAGCTAATTGGAGTCAGTAGTTTGCACACCTAGAGTCCAGTTAATGAAATTACTTTTGGAGGTGTGGTTTAGAGCTACTTTGATTGCTAAAAGATGCAAAAATGTTAAGATTGCTGTTCATAACAAGCATCAGCTGATGTGAACCATTCCTCGCAAAAGGAGCTCTCTGAAGACATAAGATCAAGCTTAGTTGATCTGCATAAGGCTGGAAAGGGATACAAAACGATCTCTAAGTGTTTAGGCATCAATAAGTTGACAGACAAATTGTTTATCAATGGAGACAATTTTAGTACTGTGGCTGCTTTTCCACGAAGTGAGTGCCCAGCCTAGTTGAATCCCAAGGCACAGAATCCTCAGTAAGGTAAAGAAGAAACACACGAGTAAACACCTAAAGGCTTGAAGTCAGCTCTGGAACTGGAAAACACCTCTGTTCAGGAGTATTCTACATGTGAGTCTTTGAACAGGCAGGTGTCCATGGCAATACACCATGGAGGAAGCTGCTGCTCTCCAGAGAAAACTTTGAGTGGCTGAAGTTTGCCAAAGAGCACCTTGGCAAACCACAACACAACTGGGAAAATGTTTTGTGGACTGATAAAACAAAGTTGAATTATTAGGGAAGAATTCTTAGTGCTATGTATGGTGCAAAAAAGGGTACGGTTTGCCAACATCAAAATATCATCTCAACTGTGAAGTATGGGGGAGGAACATCATGATTTGGGCTTCCTTCACTGCCTCAGGACCACTTGCCTTCATGGAGGTGAAAATTAATTCTCAAGCATACCAAAATATCCTACAGGATAATGTAAGGGTGGCTGTCTGCCATCTAAAGCTTAGTAGAAGTTGGGGGATGCAGTAGGACAATGACCCTAAGCATCAAAGTAAACCCACCACAGCCTGGTTTCAGAAAAAGAAAATGTACCTTTTTGGAGTGGCTCAGTCAGAGCTCAGACCTTAACCTTATAGTAATGCTGTGGAATGACATCATGAGAGCCACTCCCACCAGACATCCTACAGATGTGACTGAGCTGGAGCATTTTTGTAAAGAGGAATGGCTAAAAATTCCTCCATTGTGCAGGTCTGATTCAGAGCTACCAAAAGTGCTTGCCTGAAGTCATTGCTGCCAAAGAATGTACTGCCAGCTATTAAAGTGGAAGTAAACTCTGTTTTGCACCTTTTACCTACAGGTAAGCCTTTAATAAGGTTCACCTGTAGGTACTGTAAATATCTCCTAAACATGCACCGTTTAGGAGATATTTACTGTAGAAGCACCGGTGACGTCACCAGCGCATGCGCACTGCGCTCTCAGTGGACAGAGTGCCGTCCATTGAGAGAGCTGTGCTGCGGCTGACACTCCGTTCGTGCATGTGAGGACATGACGGCATCTCAGCTCGGCCAATCAGATGGCTGCTGCTCGCGAACCTAGCAGGAAGACCAGGTAGTTGTCAGAGCAGTGCCCTGATGATCGGTGCCCAGCAGTGCCACCCACCAGTTCCGCCCACCTCTGCCCAGCAGTGCACCCTCCTGTGTCCAGCAGTGCACCCATCTGTGCCACCCAGCAGTGCCACCTACCTGTGCCCAGCAGTGCCACCCACCTGTACCCACCAGTGCTCAGCAGTGTAGCCCAGCGGTTGTGCCAGTCAGTGCCCAGCGGTTGTGCCAGTCAGTGCCCAGCAGTTGCACCAGTCAATCCCTAGCAGTGCCGCCAGTCAGTGCCCAGCAGTGATGCCAGTCAGTGCCACCTATCAGTGCTGTCTATCAGTGCCGCCTATCCGTGACAACTCATTAGTGCCGCCTATCCGTGCTGCCTATCAGTGCCCATCAGTGCCACCTATTAGTGCCCATCAGTGCTACCTCATCAGCGCACATCAGTTAAGGAAAAAAATTACCTGTTTGAAAAATTTTATAATAGAAACAATGAAACTTTTTTTTTTTTTAATTTATTTGCACTTTTTTTGTTTATAGCGCAAAAAGTAAAGTGCCCAGCGGCGATTAAATACCACCAAAAGAAAGCTCTATTTTGTGGGAAAAACATTATAAAAATTACATATGGGTACAATCTTGCATGTCAATCAAAATGCGACAGCGCTGAAAGCTGAAAATTGGCCTGGTAAAGAAGGGCGTATAAGTGCCTGGTAGGCAAGTGGTTAATGTAAAGCCATTTAAAAAGGTATTTTCAGTGCCTTCAGTTTAGCAACATGCTTTATTTGGGTTTTATTGATGCTCTTTTCTGGTACTGACATGGGACCACCACCAAGATCAAGATTTTTACAACTCACTGATTCAATACCTTTTATCTTTTGAATTTTACAGGCTCTGTCTTGGACATCATTAAACATATTATAGCGAAAGGAGAACATAAGAATGGAGTACTGGATGAAGCGAGCATTGCTACTATGCTAAAGGAGGTTCTTGAGGGTCTCGAATACCTACATAAAAACGGCCAGATACATAGGTAGGTGTGTGATGGTTATGTTACATTTTCCAATACCCCATCTCTCTTTTTATACACCAATACTAATGTTTATTTCTTGTCTTGATGTATAAATTTGGACTCGTGTATTTTAAGTCATCACTATTTTTGAAGTGCACACATCTTATATTTCCAGCCATTCCCTCACTGGAGGTGTAGCATGCAATTATGGAAATATATATCGAGTTGGCTACTTCACTGGTTTGAATGAATGCAGTTTGTGTGCTTCTTGCTCAAGGGAAACTTTTCAAAAGTATCATGGTGGCAATATAGAACTAACTAGTACACTGAAGATTCAGCATGGAAACTGCAGTAATAGGTACATTTGTGCACGTCTAGTCAATGCTTAGCTATTCTTGACGTCTTGCTCTGCTCCTCTGGGGCTTGTGTCTGGAAACCAGTGCTATTAAATGGATGGACAGATTTACAGTGAAACATATGAGTCAGGCCAACCAGTCTACTAGCCAGCAGGCTCAAGAATTTGCCAAGCTCAGTTACAGTGTTCTGGCAATATCCATTTTACCAGCCTAATTATTCAAGTGATCTGACAGCACATCACAATCCAGTGTTTTTAAAAATGGAAGCTGGATGTATTGCTCAAATTAACCATTTTTTTTTTTTTTCAGCCATAGAAACAAAACCTGATTTGTAAGCAAGTGTTTTGTTTGCTCTTGATTTCCTTGGGCAGTGTATGATCATTTGAGTAGATTATTTTTGTCGTAAAGCTGCCACAGGTATATTTACACATTTTGCCGCTAATGGTTCAACCCTTTGCCAGGTGGGTAGCCTGTCAGATTTCATGGCATCAGATGTGGTCCTTGGCCCTCTCCAAGTGCCTTTACAAATTACGATTGTAAATTCTGCTTGCCAGTAAATGAAATAGCAGACAGTTTAGAAAAATGTATTTTTGCTTAATCTGCAGTTGTGTTGGGACCTCATTTAAATGTTACTGTGCTAGAGTATCATTGCACTTCAAACTACAGTCCTGAGGATCCTCAGCAACAATAGATGTGTCTAATCCAACAGGACACAGCAGGGATGCCATGTATGCCAACAGTAATAACCTGCTAATATCTACACTGCAGTGCCAAATGAAAATGTACTGCGAGAGAATATAAATAAAGATTTTAGCCATTACTGTAATTTTATGTATTTTCAAACATTTACCTATTTGCTGTTCCATAGTTTTTGATGGTGTTTTATATAAAGATTTTGTAAAGTTTCTCTAGTTAACCCTTCTTCCAGAATACTTTCTGAGATAAACTTTTACAGCATCCTAGTGTATTAACATATATATGTGTATACCGAGTATTTATCTAGGCAGATATAAATAACTCAAATTATTGCAGCTTTGCAATCATCAGTAAATGTATTTTTTGAATCAAGCAATGTATGCACCTAAATGTGACGTGGTTATAGCGTATTCTAGTAACTGTGAAGCAGAGCTGGAGTTTGAAGGGAAGAAGCAATATAAGCAGCCAGTTTGCTGACAAAGGAGCAAGCTGATAGCAGAGAACAAACTGACAGAGAGATGAGCTCATCACTATACTACTTCTCCTTTCACTGTCCAGTCACAGACTTGGTGTGGGTCCAGGATGACCTGGGTTTAGAGGAAGTGGGTTGAGTAGCGCTGGCCACCAGACTGAGGCCATCTAGTGGCAGAAAAAAGGACTGTATGAAAATCTGTGGATTATTTTTATCTTGTTTTTGGCTGAAGTTCTGTTTTAAAACCCACTCAGAAGCCATTTGTACACAGCCTCATGGCTCCAGTGTCCTCAATGGTTGTATTCTGTTTAATTACTGCACTGCCTTTCAGTAGACAAAGCTGCTCTTTGTGGACTTTCGGAAGTGACCCGTGACTTCCCCTATATTGAACGTCCTATCCATCAGGTTGCAGGGTGCAAGTTGCCTGGAAGTGCACACAACGTGATGTTTTAGATACAAAAAATTAGTTTTTCTAGTTGTCACAGTGACTGTACACATGTAATTATATGAATCTGTAATTCCATTATTTCAGACTGATTTGACATTGTTCAGATGTGAGGGTATAACGTAGACAATTTTAGTTTATTTATAACAATAGTGCAATGATCAACCATTTTTCCCAAAAAAGAATAAAAGACATTGATTAAAAAACTGGGTAAAAAACAGGGTACAAACATTATCATAGCTTAACCCCGTCACGCCTAAGGGTAAAACAAATCTAAATGCCTAAGCACAATTTTGCAAAGTTGACATGTGATAGTAAAACCGTACATATCATCACAACTACTTTGTACATCCAGGTGAATTTTACTGCGTTTTTTTCAGGACAAATTGAGCTTTCATTTGGTGGTTAATGGAAATATCTATCTCGAGTTTTTTTTTTTTTTAATTATCAAAGGAAAACTGGCCCAAAATAGTTTTTTTTTTTTTTTGCCTAAAACACACTGACACTAACTGACACTCATACCAATTTTTTTTTAAATCCGACCTTTGACACTGACCTTTTGACCTTGACCTTTGACCCTGAGCTTGAACCAAACAATAACCCTGGCACTGAACTAGATCAAAACTTGATCTAGGTATTTTTTATTTTGTTTTAATATTTATTTATCTTTTTTTTTTTTTTTCTACAAACATTTTTTTTTTCTCTATGCCAGGAGTTAGAGAGATACAATGGATCTCTCTTCGCCATTCATAGAGAGAGAAAGAAAAAAGGGGGGGGCACCAATCAGAGGCTATCACAGCGATCATGTGACCCGGAATCGGGAGTCCCGTGTCCCAATCGTTAGAACGGGACATGGGGCTCTCATTGACACTGTGGTCTTTTGTGCTGGGAGCGCGCACAGTGCGTCGCGCTCCCAGCACAAAGACAGCTACGCAAATATACAGCCCCACGGAAAAAAGCCCAGTTCCGTGAGGACGCTTATGTGTGACATCGGCGTCAAGGGGTTAATATTGCATCGGCTTTTCCCAGGGCTGTATGGGGCTTTCCCATTGACAGTCCAATTGAAATTGTGGAATGCTGGGAAAATCCCACATTGTTAATGCTCATTTTCACTTGCTTTCCTGGAAAATATTTTACCATTACTTGGGTAGGAAAGTTGACTATAATACCCCCTAAGAAACCTTCCACACAGGCGTTACGTTTTTTTTCATCAGTTCAGAAAAAAGGAAGAAAGAAAAGAAAAAAACGTATCAGTTCACATCAGTTTTTCATCAGTTCACGTCAGTTTTTCGTCAGTTCACGTCAGTTTTTCGTCAGTTCACGTCAGTTTTTCGTCAGTTCACGTCAGGTTTTCCGTCAGTTCACGTCAGGTTTTCCGTCAGTTCACGTCCGTTTTCCGTCAGTTCACGTCAGGTTTTCCGTCAGTTCACGTCAGGTTTTCCGTCAGTTCACGTCAGGTTTTCCGTCAGTTCACGTCAGGTTTTCCGTCAGTTCACGTCAGGTTTTTCGTCAGTTCACGTCAGGTTTTTCGTCAGTTCACGTCAGGTTTTTCGTCAGTTCACGTCAGGTTTTTCGTCAGTTCACGTCAGGTTTTTCGTCAGTTCACGCCAGTTTTTCGTCAGCTCACGCCAGTTTTTCGTCAGTTTACGCCAGTTTTTCGTCGGTTAACTTCAATTTTTCATCAGTTCAAATCAGTTTACGTCAGTTTTTCATCAGTTTACATCTGTGTTTTTTACCTTTACATCCATGTTTTGCCTGTTTTCATCCTTTTCTTGTCTGTTTTCACCCATTTTTTGTCCATTTACTTCTGTTTTGATCCATTTCTTTTCTTTTTTTTTTTTTTTTTTAATGGAAGAAAAATAGGGTTTTCTTCCATTCAAAAAAACAGATGTTAACGGATGTAGACATTGATGGGCAGATGAAAAACGGACATACGGAACGCCCATGTGAAAGTGACCTAAGAATGTGCCAGATGCCCTTTAAATCTGGTTTGGTTATTTTGGGATGAGCTCACTTTGTTGTATTGGCCTGATGCTGGCAGCATGTGGTCTTTGAGCTATGGAGATGCCATCTAGTATAGTTGGCATTCTGTACTCCACTACTTGTAGTAATTGTGACATGCCATAGGCTGTGTGGTTTGATATTGGTGTTCTCTGATTTAGCAGTCTTTAGTAATTGGCCACTAGTGGTTCGAAAGCGTTCACCAGTATTAACCAACATATACAATACAGCTGTCTCCGCTATGTACTCCAGTTTACTCTATACACAGCAATTGTTACTTTCTGAAAGTGTTTTAGAAACATAAACTGCGCCAGTAACTTGAGAAGTAAATCACTTCTAAGCTAATGTTACCTTCCACTTAAATAGAAGTCAAATCTAGAGGCATTGTATTGGGCACACCTGAATTGGGCTTAGTTCAGAAGTGTGGGTGTGAGAATGTTTCTCAGATACACCCCACTTGACACCTGGAGTAATTACAGCCACTAAACTCCATTATGTGAGGATAGCAAACATTTTTTAAAGCAAAATTTTTTTGCTGTGATCACACTTCTGTGGAAACCATTTTATGAAGACTTGCCAGGTCCTTGAAGTTATTATGGAGTTTTTTTATTTCTATAAGAGACAATTAACATAATTGTATTTGTTTTAAGTCTTTCTGTTCTGCCCCACTTACAAACAATGCTAGTATTTACATAGGACTTGAGTGAAGATAATGTAAAGTAGTAGGCCAAAAAAGTAATGTTGGGCAGGCTTGCTATATTTTAAGCCCCGTACACACAATGAGAATATCGGACGAACGATCGCCCATTTTTTTTTTTCGCCTGCTAGTCTCACATTGAAAGTGAAAAGGTTATTAAAGATACGAAAATTCTCCGATAAAAGAAAAGAATTTCGAAAGTGATGTCATGTATTGTATTTGAATTGTATTTTCGGGCGATTACTGTACTGATTAAAGGAAAATCGCACGATCTGGTATCGTAAGAGAAAAATTTTTGCACTTGTTCCTTCGGATATTGTCACACACATTGTCGTGGTTGGCTCTCAAAAGCTGTGTACTAACGATCCGATTATCGAAAATGTTCATACAATGTTCTTATAATGTGTACGGGGCATAAAGGATAACTATACTTTTTTTTTTTTTTAATAAAATAAATGCACATTTTTTTTACAGGTAAAAATGTACATTTATTTATTTATTTATTTTTTTCACTGAAGCCTTTAAAGCATTGTACCTATGATCAACAGATTGTGGGTGCAAAGCCAGGATCCTGCAGACTGTCCGCTTTCTGACCATACCTCCCGTACAGGCAGACAGTTACTGAACTGCCCAAAGAATCAATGAACTACAGGAGAGCTCACCAACACCCACACATTTCATTGAGAACTACAAGCCTTCATCTGTGGTGGCCGACTGTACTTATAGTTCATTTATTCACACAGCCTCACTGTTTTTAAATTGTGACAATGGGTGCTGAGAGAAGATCCCCTACCTGCTGTCACAGGGAGGAGGGGATTGGGGGTAGAGGAGGCAGCAGCTGGAACATGTTACGCCCTAGATATGGGGGAACTTGTAACGTGTTCCAAAAGTGAACTTAGCATTTAAAGCTGAACTGCTGCACTGCAAGAGTTATTTGTTCTTTTTTGTCTAGAGGGAACAGCAAAAGCAATTCTACTTCCTATAATCTTTGCTCACGCAGGCTTCCTCCCAGCTGCAGGACTGGCCACCCAAAGCTATTTCTGTTTGCCGCTGTGTTGGGAGTTCCTACAAATTGTAGTTGTGAGTCAGGACGCTGAGGGCCCAGCCACAACCCAGAGCACTGGCTACCAGGGTGGTGAGGGATAAGGCAGATTTAACTACCTTTTTGAGTTCTCCCGGGTATGCACAAGCATTTACCTCTTGTAGTGTGGGAGAGGAGCCCCACTATAAGGGTCTATATTTACTTTACTCAGAGTTCAGCTTTAAAAAGTATGTTCACCATTTCAGAATAAATTAAAAGGTGAACCAACATCGCCCCCCCCCCCCCCGATCCCACTGTACTTACCTCCATTAAAGAGTGATGACCTGTCAGTGCCAGTGCAGCATTCTGGGGATGTGAAATTCCCACTCTTCCCCCTTTTCTTTCTGTAGCACTTCTGGGGGGGGGGGGGGGGATCAGAGCAATGCCGTGTGCTGGTGCTGATCAAAATTGCTCTCCTTGGTCCCGGAAGCGCTGCATTGAGAAATGGGAGAACAACAGGGATTTCAAATTCCCAGACTACTACACTGGCATTTCTGAAAAGGTGAATTACCACTGAAAAGCTTGTGTATGTGTGATGCAGGACCAGATTATTCACAATGCAACCTAGACAGGAGCTTAGGACCTGGTGGATGACCGGAAGACAATACAATTACTCAAAACTAGGAATCAGCCTGTTTCTCAATGGAGAGCAGGATTTTAAAGGCAATTGGCATGTGTTGGTGTCATGCCAATACTGATGGAACAGTTTTTGTGTGTGTAATAAAATCAGTAACAGCCAGGCAGTTTGCATTTTTTCAAAGGGGGCCTATCAGAGGCCATCTACATGTATTCCTTCATTAAATCCAAATCAAGTTCCCTGATATGTAGATACCATGAGAAAAAGCATTTGCGAATATGTATATAAAGTATGACCATTAAAATATGGAACAGCGGTTAAGACAAAAAAAGTGGATACTGCATTCGTTTTACTTTTCGGTAAATGTTATAGGTTTAAATTAAAATGTGTACCTAAATACACAATAATGAATGAATTTTAGCATGTAGATACTGATATTGGAAGTGCAGCACAAGACTATGAAGGGCAGCTGCAGCAATTATACACAAACCGGGCCCGCTGCTGGCTCTACATATAAAGTACCAAGGTGAACATTTTTCTTGTGTTTTCAGAAGTCATCACTTTTTATTTCATTGTTTCTAGGGACGTTAAAGCTGGAAATATACTTTTGGGTGAAGATGGCTCTGTACAAATAGCAGGTAGGTTTTTCTGAGCATGAATTTTATTCATCTGTTCCTGGCCCTGTATTATGCTCAAATTGATGAAATTTTGGAGCATGCAAGCTTGTAAACTTGGCGTGAACGTTGATACATGTGAAGGTCTACCAACAATCTCCTCCACACATTGTTCCAAATGTTAAGTTTGTTAGTGTGTTGGAAGATCCTCTCTTGGACAGACGTACCATAAGCTGGCCATACATGGATCGAAATTCAGCCGGTTCAGCAGGGACCGGACAGTTTTCAATCCATGTATGTGTATGGCCACTGTGGTTGAACAGAACTCAATCTACGGATCAACTTCTGGTCAACCACCCTGTCAAATTTTCGTCAATTGATCCGTGCTGCAGGCTATAGGCTGCAGCGCTGATCAGTGTATTCTGAAGGGGGGACACTCTCCCCGCTGTCAGAATATGATGTCACAGAAGGGAGGAGCTCTTCGTCCACCTCTAATGCGTGTATGGGGGAATTGTTTCAGGTTTTTGGAGGGTTTTTTTGCTCAAGGTGCTGGGTGAACAAAAAAAAACAAATGTACCGAAGCTTAAAGCAGTTGTAAATTCTGTTTAAAAAAAATAAAGGTTCCCCCTGCAGCCTAATGTCATTATATGCTAGTGTGCACCATTTACTAACACATTATGACAGACGTATCTGTAAAACAAAGCCCTCCAGTGAGTTCCCCCGTCTGTGTGAGAGGTAATCGATCTATATTCCACTTTTGTTGAATTGGATGTTGGAACATTTTAATTCAATCAGCAGCTGCAGCCATTTGGCTGCGGCTCTGATCAGTGATTTCTAACCGTCCAGGAGTCCTCGCTGACAGAATACAATGTCATTGGGGAGTATTCCTCCATCCACCTCACTTGTGTGGCAGGGGAATCTGTTTTTTCCCATCAACCTGCTGGCTGATTGAAAAAGAAGTTCCAGCCTTAAGCTGGCCATATAAGATGCAACTTTCTTTCCTGCAAACACGGGCTGCAGGAAATAAAATCGCTCGCATCCCCCATCAACTCAGTCAGTGTTGATGGGGGAATCTCTTCCACGAAGTTGTTGTGTTCTTCTGGGGGTGGAGGGGAGTCATTTCTGCCAGGAGAACACAGTGATTATTGCTAGCAGTTATAGCCGCTAGCAATGATTGCCTGAATTATCCGACAAGCTGGTTGTAACCAAGTTGTACAATATATTTTTGCATGAGAGCAGTCTAACCTGAGTCCCTGAACTCCACTCCATATGTGATCTATATTTTGCACTGCAAGAGTCAGTGGGCTTCGGATCCAGTGCTTTTGACACATTCCGTTATGACCCAATAGATGCTTACATCCCAGGGTCCCAACCACAGTTAAAAGATACCAGTTAACCAATTAGTATGTTTTTGAATTGTGGTACGAACAAGCATGCCCAGGTGACACCCAAGCAATCCTTGTGTCCTTGTCGGCTTTTCTAATTAGGCTGGTCATTTATGTCAGACTTTCTATGGACGTGAGGGGGTGAGTGTAGATAGTACCTCACAACAATAGAGCAAAAACAGGCCACCAAGAATGACACCAATTACCGGTGTCATTAGCATATCTCCGACTCACTTGTATAAGTGTGGATACAAAAACCCCCAAAGACTACGTACTAAACAATATGGTAGTGTGACAAGAACACCCCTACCTGAAAAAGAAGGTTACTAGATGATCCACGCGGAGTAATATGAATTCAAAAGAATTTTAACAATACTTTATTTGATCACATAGATCATAGGGAGGTTAAACATAAGCACGGTGTACATATGAAAAAAATAAAATCAAGTTAAAAAACACTTAGCGTCTTCAATTTAGGGTCATCTTAGCAAATAGAGCACCATATAAGGCAGAGTTGTGTAATAATGCGATAGGTATCCTGGATTTCCGTGGGTTTCCCCTAGAATTCGAATAAATCATGTGTTCAACAGATGTGTTCCCAATATATGTCAGGGACCTCCTGGAATGTGAGTGTAGATAGTAGTAATGGGTTATACCTACCAGCATTCTCCCGAAACTAAGTGTGCCTTTTCTTTTTTTTTTTGTGAGTTCGCTTTAAATTTTGTACAGAAGTGATTTAACATCCTAAATGTGATAATCACTTAGTGCTTCTAAGAGTAATCATTTTCCAATCATTCAGTCTACTGACATAATGTCCTGTCTTCTGCTTCTCCAGATTTTGGTGTCAGCGCATTTTTAGCCACAGGTGGTGACATAACCAGGAACAAAGTGAGAAAGACGTTTGTGGGCACGCCTTGCTGGATGGCCCCAGAGGTCATGGAGCAGGTAACATTACCTCCTTTAATACCAAGAACAATGAGGATCTTGTTTCCTTGAAAAAGAGATTGGAAACTAATCACTGCTTGACAAATGACTCATTTAACTGTGAAGATTACTTATGAATGCTTTTCTGAAATGAATGTGGTGCCTCGTTTTAAGCATGAATATTTTTGCCACAAATAACCCAAGCAAATTCTTAATGTTTGTTTTATTTATATTTGTCTTTATTTGTATAGCACTGAAATATGCTTTATAGGGTACATTTCACAATTCACATCAGTCCTTGCTCTGAGCACACAGTCTAGTATCTATCCCACATTTTGGCTAGCTGTACATGTATAGATTTCTCTTCAGCCCATAGGCTGAATGAGAGATGTCTAATAGATTCCTCCATCCATGCCAAACCACGTGGATGAAGTAATCTAGCTGCCCGTTTTTGGTTTTTCTGATAGCCACAGCAGTCAGAATGCCAGAACAGTGACTGGTGACAGTCACCGTTTACTTGAACGTTTGTTTTTATTATTTTAAATCGACTTTTGTCGAGCTTGGTGATGCCAGTTCTACAGTATTGAACAGTGTATAGCAGGCTTTATACAAGCACTCATACAAAGGCCTGTGTTGGGACAAAGGTTCATATGTTTAAAGTGTATGTATGAGCCAAAAAAAAAAAATCTTTGTATGTGCCTACAGTATATGCAGATTTCCCCAGAGTTATTCCATTTAAAACCCCAGCAATGAAAAATAAATACCCATTGACTTGCTAGAAATCTATTGAGCTCCAAACTACTTATATGAACTAACAATGCTATTTCTGCTGCTCTGAAATTCTGAGCATTGTTTTCAGCCCTGCCTAGCTCTTCCATGTAGGTCTACAGAACGCCTCCCCCTAATGTTATTTAGATAATGAGTGGGATATATTCTGCAGCAAGGAAAACTGATTCATGGCTAATAATACTCCCTGGCATTTTAACAGAGGCAGCATTGTCAGGGGGTTAGGAACTCACAGGATTTCTGCCAGGATCAAAAGGTATTTTTCTGTGCTTGCAGTCCTTTCACAGACAGAACTTGGGGAGTAGTACATGTATTGCTGAGATGTACCCCACTATCTAGAAATAATATAAATCTATATACTGTGTGTCTATATACAGTTGTGTTCAAAATAATAGTGTGTTGAAAAAAGTGAATAAAGCTCAAAATCCTTCTAATAGCTTTTATTTCCATACACACAAATGCATTGGGAACACTACACATTCTATTCCAAATCAAAACATGAAGAAAAATATATCAAATTTGTGTTGTTCCTCTAAAAAAAATTGAAGAAAAGTGAATGTTAGACTGTTCAAAAAAATAGCAGTGTTTGTATTCTTCTTTACAAACTCAAACATTCACTATATAAACTGAAAAATGTTTGAAGATTTTGCTTTCCTTTGAATCACTTATTTAATATTTAGTTGTATAAGCACTGTTTCTGGGAACTGCTGTACATCTGTGTTGCATGGAGTCAACCAACTTCTGGCACCTGTGAACAGGTATTCCAGCCCAGGATGATTGGACTGCATTCCACAGTTCTTCTCTATTTCTTGGTTTTGCCTCAGAAACTGCATTTTTGATGTCACCTCACAAGTTTTCTATTGGATTAAGATCCGGGGATTGGGCTGGCCACTCCATAACGTCAATCTTGTTGGTCTGGAACCAAGATGTAGCACGTTTACTGGTGTGTTTGGGTTCGTTGTCTTGTTGGAACACCCATTTCAAGGGCATTTCCTCTTCAGCATAAGGCAGCATGACCTCTTCAAGTATTCTGATGTATTCAAACTGATCCATGATCCCTGGTATGCGATAAATAGGCCCAACACCGTAGTATGAGAAACATCCCATATCATGATGCTTGTGCAACCATGCTTCACTGTCTTCACAGTGTACTGTGGCTCGAATTCAGTGTTTGGGGGTCATCTGACAAACTGTCTCCGGCCACTAGACCCAAAAAGAACAATCTTACTTTCATCAGTTCACAAAATGTTGCGCCATTTCTCTTTAGGCCAGTCAATGTGCTCTTTGGCAAATTGCAACGTCTTCAGCACATGTCTTTTTTTCAACAGTGGGACTTTGCGGGGGCTTCTTGCAGATAACTTGGCTTCACATAGGTGTCTTCTAATTGTAACAGTACTCACAGGTAACTTTAGACCACCTTTGATCTTCCTGGAGCTGTGATTGTTGGCTGAGTCCTTGCCATTTTGGCTATTCTTCTAACCATTCGAATGGTAGTTTTTCGCTTTCTTCCACGTCTTTCAGGTTTTGGTTGCCATTTTAAAGCATTTGCGATCATTTTAGCTGAGCAGCCTATCATTTTCTGCACTTCTTTATATGTTTCCCCCTCTCCAATCAACGTTTTAATCAATGTACACTGTTCTTCTGAACGATGTCTGGAACGACCCATTTTCCTCAGAATTTCAGAGAAATGCACTGTAACCAGCATGTACAACATTTGCTGCCTTCCTTCCTTAAATAAAGGCAATAATTGCCACCTGTTTTTCAAAGGATGAATGACCTCACTAATAGAACTCCACGCTGCTATTATTTTGAACATGCCCCTTTCAATTAGTGATTCAATTACACAGAATCAGCAGCATGCATGTCATGACTGTTGGGTCTGTTGAATGTCTACTACTCTACTACACCTGCTAGTAAATTATTTGCTATGTAGAAATATCATTTCTACCAAAAACAGTGATTGATCAGGTTAGTGATGTCTGACTGCTATTATTTTGAACACAATTGTACACTACAAATATTATTAGTATTATTATACAGGATTTATATAGCGCCAACAGTTTGCACAGTGCCTTACAAAATTAATATATGCGTGGTGTGTGTGTTTGTGTGTGTATATAAAATATATTCAGTTCGGTCCATATATATTTGGACACAGGCACAATTTCAGATTTTTAGGTATTTACTAAAAATTATTCAAGCTATATTTATATATTGGATATGGGCTGAAAGTGCACACTCTCGGGTTTCATTTGAGGGTATGTACATCCAAATTGGAGGAAGGGTTTAGTAATTACAGCTTTTAAGAGTAGCCATCCCCCTTTTTCAAGGGACCAGAAGTAATTGGACAATTGCATATAATCGTAAATAAAATGTTTATTTTTAATATTTTGTTGAGAATCCTTTACTGGCAATGACTGCCTGAAGTCTGCAACCGATGGACATTACCAAAGACTGGGTTTCCTCCTTTCTGATGCTTTGCCAGGCTCTAACTGCAGCTGTCTTCAGTTGTTCTTTGTTTGTGGATCTTTCTGCTTTTAGTTTTGCCTTCAGCAAGTGAAATGCATGTTCAATTGGGTTGAGATCAGGTGATTGACTTGGCCATTGCAGAATATTCCACTTCTTTTCCTTCAAAAGCCCCTGGGTTGCTTTTGCAGTGTGTTTAGGATCATTATCCATCTGTACTGTGAAGTGCCGTCCAATCAACTTTGCTACATTTGGCTGAATCTGGGCTGACAGTATATCTCTAAACACTGCAGAATTCATCTGGCTGCTTTTATCACATTATCAATAGACACCAGTGACCCAGTGCCACTGGAAGCCATGCATGCCCATGCCATCACACTGTCTCCACCATGTTTTTCAGATGACGTCGTGTGCTTTGGATCATGAACTGTTCTAAGCCTTCTCCACACTTTTTCCTTCCCGTCATTCTGGTACAGTTTAATCTTAGTTTCATCCATCCAAAGAATGCTTTTCCAGAACTGGTCTGGCTTTTTTAGATGTTTTTTTTTAGCAAAGTCTAGTCTGACATTTCTATTCTTCAGGCTTATGAATGGTTTGTGCCTTGTGGTGAGCCCTCTGTATTTTACTCTCATGAAAATCTTCTCTTGATTGTAGACTTTGACAATGATACGCCCCCTCCTGGAGAGTGTTCTTCCCTTGTCTGGATGTTGTGAATTGGTTTTTCTTTACCATAGAGAGGATCCTGCGATTATCCAAACTGTTGTCTTCCGTGGACATCTATGCCTTTTTATGTTGCTGAGCTCACCAGTGCGTTGTTCTTTCCTCAGAATGTACCAAACTGTTGATTTGGCCACTCCTAATGTTGCTGCTATCTCTCTGATGGATTTGTTTCATTTTTGAAGCCTTACAATGGTTTGTTTCACTTGCATGGACAGCTCCTTTGAACGTATGATGTAGGTTCACAGCAATAGATTCCAAATGCAAATACCACACTTATAATCAACTCCGGACCTTTTACCTGCTTAATTGATGAAGACATAACGAAGGAATAGCCCACACCTGGCCATGAAACAGCTTTTGATTCAGTTGTCTAATTACTTTTGGTCCCTTGAAAAAGGGGGGATGGCTACTCTTAAGAGCTGTAAATCCTAAACCCTTCCTCCGGTTTGGGTGTACATACCCTCAAATTAAACCTGAGAGTGCGCACTTTCAGCACATATCCATTATATAACTATAGCTTGAATATGTTTTGGTAAATGCCTGAAAAAAAAAAAACTAAAATTGTGCCTGTATCCAAATATATATGGACCTTAAAGTGTGTGTGTGTGTGTGTGTAGTAGGTGTTTGTTGTAACCTGTAAGGAACACTATTTTTTCGAATGAGAGGTTCCTGGTTTAAAGAGATTGGATCACAATTTTTTTTTTTTCTTAAACAAAGTATATTGGCTCTGTATGAACCAACTTTAGTTTTTAGAGCCACGCCAGGGTGTGATTTTCAATTTTTTAGGTGGCAGTACATGTGTATTAATAGAGTTTTAAAAGGGCTACATGCATATTATCTAGTTGGGAATCTAGCGAAATAGAAAATATGCAATGTTTGTCCCTGAAGCTGAATACTGTCCTTGTGAATCCAGGTAATATAGCCGTTATATGGAAAGTTAGCTGTATATTTCCCTAAGCTAAATTCAGGTAAACATCATTCAGAATGAAGTTGTGCTGGGTGCTGTTTTTTAATAAGGGCCATTATCAGTAAAAAATAGAGTAGATCTACATCTGACATATTTAGTATTCTATCTGAAGGACATAATATAACCAGGAAAACCTTTCCTCTCCAAGTTGGCTTATGTGAATGGTAGAGGTCATTCTATGTGTAGGTTCATTTAGAATATTTTGTTGATTTTCCTACACTGACATTTCCACCACAAATTCCATTCTGTATGGACTGTGTTACTTCTGCTGGGCCAAAGGAAGTGTGGTACATTTTATTAACAAAAAATTAAATTTGAGCCCTTTGATCAGTTGAGTCCAAAGGGAAAGTCGAAAACTGGCCATACACTGATAGAATTCAGCTGGTTAAGGGCCGACAAGCCAAATTTCTATCTGTGTGCGGCTGTCCCTGTCTAACAGAAGTTGCTCATTTGAACAACTTCTGAAGAACATGCTGGAAAACCTTTATCAACCATCAGCTGCAGCCGGTGATCAGTGTGTTTTGTCAGCTGCGGGTGCAGTGAATACAGTGTCCTGGGGGGGGGGATTCCTCCATCCACCTACTGGCTGAATGAAAAAAAATCCAACAGTATATGGTCAGAATACAAAAGTGAGACTTAAGTTGATCACAAAAAATTGTGTTGTGTGGGATTGTGTTTCCATAGGCAACAGTGTTTTGTCATTAAGCTTGTGAATTGGACAAATGACATGCATTGAGAGATTCTGAACTTTTACAATCACTACACTTGCTCTGACTTTGTTTTAGGTCCGGGGATATGATTTTAAGGCAGACATCTGGAGTTTTGGAATTACTGCTATTGAATTGGCTACTGGAGCAGCTCCATATCATAAATACCCTCCAATGAAGGTATGTTACATACTTAAAGCGATTCTAAAGGTTAATTTTTTTTTTTTTGTAAAACAAACATGTCTTTACTTACTTTGTACAGTGGTTTTGCACAGAGCAGCTTGGATCATCTTCTTCTCGGGACCCCTGCAGGGTCTCCTGGCTCCTCCTTTCTGCCAGGTGCCCCCAGAGGAAGCAGCTTGCTATGGGGGCTCCCGCTGCTTCGTGTGTCCTTTCACACACGGAGCCATGGCTTGTTCGTATTGAGGGGGCTGGGAGCACTGCTGCGCACAGATTTTTTACATCACTTTGCTAGGCAAATTCCATTAACCGTGTAGGCAAAATGAAAAATCACAATTGGCCCTCAAACTTTTGTGACCTTTTTCTGCTGTTGCCATGGAAGTCCATGTTTACTGCCATCATAAACACATAAAGACTCTGTAAAAGTATTTTCTTTTTGATAAAATGTATTTCCAAGAAGACCTTGGCACTATGTGGACTGTTTAAATGTATTATTGAAAAAAATCACACAATGGTGTTTATGGAACAAGATTTTTCAATCCAGCAACTTTGATTGTATACAAAAACCTGCATTATAAACACTAGATTCTAGTCCTTGCATGCCAAAGAAAGTGATCAACACTTTTACAAGTTTTTACAAGTGGTCTTCCTTATAAATTTGTAGATGTTCTAAGGCAGGGGTAGCAACCTGTGGTCATTTCCCATGAGGCATTGTAACATTACAAAATAGTTATAGCTATCACTTCAGAGATGATGGAACTTTAGTCCTTCAACAGCTGGAGAGCCGCAGGTTGCCTACCCCTGTTCTAAGGGGTTCTAGCATATCTAAACAGAACCTCTCTCCAGGTAGCCTGCTGTCTCATGGACCTATCCTGCAGTACTGAAATGGGGTGTTGTCCTCATGCTGTAGTCCATCCCTTGACCCTCAGCTCCTTCCACTGTCGCCCTCAAAGCAGCTGACTGTTAATGGATGTAATGCAGCAAAAATACAATAGTGCAGACTTAATATAAAGAGATTTTATAGCGATTTATTGCACTCACATAGATCCAAAAATAAAAACACATATAGAAGTAGTGTGATCAGTTCACCTTCCAGCTTCATCCCCTGATAAATCATCCAGTTCCTAGGTCTGATCATGTGTGATCTTACAATAAATTTGGGTCTGCAGGTTTTCTGTAAAATTGTTGCAGTCAGTAAATGAGGTGCTTTGGAAATAAGAAAATTATGAAATAGCTCATTTGTTTTAAAGAATTAGGCTATTTTAATCTTATGTTTTCTTAAATTTTCTTTCCCAGGTATTAATGTTGACGCTTCAGAATGATCCCCCAACTCTAGAGACTGGTGTGCATGATAAGGAAATGCTGAAGAAGTATGGCAAATCTTTTAGAAAGATGATCTCCTCGTGCCTTCAGAAAGATCCAGAGAAAAGGTGAGCACTGACTACACCTAAGTGACATTAGCCATGTGCTGATAGTGTCAGAAATCTAGAAATACCAGATATTTGGCTGTGAAATTACTCTTGTGCACTAAATGTTGCCTAAAGCCAATTTGTAGACTTTAGAGGAAAGGCAGCCTTGTAGGTGTCATCTGACTCCAGATGCCCATAGGCTGCGTTCTCTTCAAAGCTCTCCATAAACATGTCCACATCATTATTGGCTGAAAGCATCCAGATCGGGTGTCATTCATCCCATGTCTATAGGTGTCCTAAAGCAGAATTAAAATTCATTGGTTGGAGATGGGCCATTGTCATGATGCGTACGTTTTTATAGCATATTTGTATGTTATGACTCAATTACCTACAAAAGCGCCCTTCTTCATTGCTTTCCAATCAAGAATCGTAGGTGCTGCTCCATCTCCTGCCAGTCCCATTTTCTCTTCTGTTTCTTTGGGGTTTACCACTGGTTCCTCTTTAGCCAGTGGATGGCCACTGATGATTTAACTTTTGAACATACACACCTTGTTCCATTCTCAGCATCTGACAAATACCAGGAATGAACACTGCATGGTGCATGCACTGAACAGTGTGTCCAAAAACCAAAGGGAAGGAGAAGAACATTTTTTGAAAGAGACTTTGCATGTCTCTTTTGCTTTAAGAACTCAACCTCTTAGCAATGTTTTATGTTAGGAATTTAGTTTTACTTTAAAGGATAAGTTCCCCTTCGGGAACATGTTACATGTTCCCACACCTGCAGCTCTCCCTCCGATCTCCCCTCTCCCTCCGATCTCCCCCTCTCTCTGTGACAGTGGGCTGCCCACATGGCGGTGTCATTCAGAGTTCTGTGAATGAATGCCTTCAGGTACTGTCAGCCTTTGTGGCTAACTACTTGTAGTTCTGGAAGAACTGTGAGGGCGCTGGCGAGCGCTTTCATAGTCCATTGAGGTTCCTGGACAGACGTAACTGCCTGTCTATATCGGAAGTAGAGGCAGACAGCTACACTGACAGTCTAAGAAAAAAAAATAGTTTTTTTTTTTCTTTTATGGTGAACTCATCCTTTAACTTCCCAAAGCAGCAGAAGTTCCTGGGCCCTCTCATGAGAGATGTTACTAAACTGTAACATTCGTCCATTTATTGCTCTCTAACCTGCTGCCCATGCTACATCACTTGTGTTTTGGAGCACAGCCTTCAGCAGAAAATTGATTCATAGCTTTCTGTCCTAGGTGCATGCTCCAAACACACAGAAGCTATGGTGGTTAAGGTGGATTTGTAAACAAAATGCACTTGCTGTACCTTTCTTTACAATTTTTGCTTAGCTGTCTGAGTAGACATCCGGCACAGATTGCAGCTCCGACCACTAAGAAGTACTGTAATTGTCTACTGAATGGCTGTGTTCTGGGAGCTAAGTAGGATAACAGGGGAGCCGAACTAAGGAAAGATAAGGCATGTTATTAAAAAGTGGGCTTAATGGTTAGCACTTCTACAGCAGCACTGAAGTCCCTGGTTTGAATCCTGCATAGGACACTCTCTGCATTGAGTTTGCATGTTCTCCCTGTGAGGGTTTTCTCCCACACACCATAGACCTGCTTTTGTAATCTTTGTGACTCTAGTATGTTTGTCATATGTGAGATAAGGACTTTACACTGTAAGTTGCTGAAGGGCAAGGACTGATGTGAATGTACAGCAGGGGTCAGCAACCAGTAGATCGCGGCCAGGTGAATGGTAGAGAGTGGTCTGGACTTGCTGACCCACCATCCCAGAGCATCAGAGCAATGCAGATGGACTACTTGTAAAGTTGGTGCTGTAGTAGGGAGCAAGAGCCCCATTAGCTGATGCCTCCTCTGTAGTGCTGGCTCCTGTCCCATGCAGAGTGATACCAACTGCACTCCACCTCTTATCCTGGCTAGCAGTCTCCAGAGTGGTGTCAGCAGCAGAAAAGATCTTCAGGTCAGTGTGACGCAATACACTGGACATAATAGTATAGGGCGTCTTTCACATTGATGCACTACGATTTACCCACACCGTGAGTGCAGTGCAGTGTACTTGCAGCTTTCCTGCAGGTTTGCTGCACTTAGCCATGAAATTCTATTATATCCTGTGGGTTTGGTGCACTTTCTGAAAGCACACCAAAACTCCTGAATGCAGGAGTTTTGATGCACTTTCAGAAAGTGCACTACATCTGCTGGATGTGATAGAAGTCTATGGCAAAGCACAGCTAATCCAGGAAAGCCACAAATCCAATGTGTTGCACCTGCGGCACAGGTAAACCACAGCACATCAGTGTGAAAGCAGATTTTTATAGGGGGCTCGGACTCGTAACAGTTCATTTACATTTGCAGTTTGGGGGGTGGTAAAACACCATAGTTAAAATGTGTTTTTATCACCCCTGCCCCAACCTCACCCCCTTTAGCTGCATTGGCTGGGGGTTTACACATGTCACAGCCGCAGCAGGACTTATATGCCCTGTCATGGTTGGAGGGTGTAGCACCTTGCAAGCATGATCCATTCAAGTAAACGAGGCCACTCTGCAGCCCAGCAGACAAGGGGTTAAAGCAGGCAATGTTTTGTTGCTTTTTCACCACCCGCTTTAACCCCTTGAACCTGGAAGAAGCATGCAGTTGCGGGGTATTTGCAGAGTGGCCCCATTTACTTAGGTTGAAGGCAGTAGCGCCCAGCAAAAGTATCAGTGGGTTTAATTCCTGCTGCAGCATGTGTACACCTTTGGCTGCTGCCTCTGCAGCTAAAGGGGTAGGGATTGGGTGAGGTAAAACTACAACTCAACCGCAGGGTTTACCACCCCCAACTGAACAAGCCCTAAGGGTATCGTTACCACATGCAACTGAGGGTTCATTCACCTGTCAGGCAGGCACTACTTCTCCTCTGAAAAGCAGTCCAAGTGTGTTTGACAAGTGGTGAGGAGGCAATATGCTGGCTCCTCACCACTTTATTTACACCCATGATTGCTGTGCAGTGCACGTGATTGCAACATGGAAATTGTCCACAAGTCTTTAAAATCACATATTAGGTTACAGCTTATACTGCAAAACCATTTTTGAATGAAATGTGGTACAGCCAGTCTGGATTCCACCAGATTGTTGGAATTCCACAGTTAATCCATGTACTGGAAATAGCCTACGCGTTTCGTATTATTGATTCAACAAATGCTTCATCTAGGAAGATGTATCACATTATAACAAAACATAACCAGGGATGTATGATTCCTATTGCCCAACGCCCAGGACATGCAGTTTCGGGTGCTGGGCAAGAGGTATTTCTGTCCCCCTCTTTCCTCTGGCTGTCCCATTGTACTCAGATGTGTGGCATGTCCCCTCCAGACATGTCACGGCTGGGCAGTGCGGCCTACCTCTCCCCCTCCCCAGGTGCTCAGCCTGCTGTACGGTGAGGGTCTGCCCCAGAGCTCCTCCATCTCCCAGCACATCACCGCCGGGCTAGTGTGGCCCCCCTTCTTCACCTCCCTGGGCCTCCAGCACACTGAAGTCCGGTCACCAGAGAGACGGAGTACAGCCTGCACTTGCCGCCCCATGGATGCTGGGAGTTGTAGTACTTTTTCTGCTATGTACCCGAATGTCCAGTATCTTTAAAGATTAGATGGTTTGTTACTCAGGGACCCTTGGTTGACCTTTCAGATTTCATGGAGAAAGGGGATGCCCGATAGGGGGGAGACCATCATACAGGGAATGGAGATGCGACTGCTATCTGTCCTCATAGAAGCCTCTAAGCCCTATTTATACTAATGCAGTGCGAATCCTGTGCGTTTTCTGCATTGCAATTGCACAGCGTCCATGCGAGCTGCTGCAGGGGTCAATGTTAAATAAACAACACCCCCAAACAGATCGAAAAATGCAGTGTGATTGCCAGAATCGCATTGCGTGGGTGTGAATATCCACACAATACTATTCAGGTGCGGCAAAAAAAAGGGTCCTGCACCATTTTGGTGCGGATGTGATTTGAGCCATGCAAAAAGGATGGCTCAAATCGCACCTCACAGACATCACATGTAATGTGCACAAGAATGCTGTGCAATTTCTGTGCAAATCACGTGGTGTCCTGAATTACGCAAGTGTGAATCTAGCCTGAGAGTATAGCCTATACCAGCCCTCATAACCCCCCCTTCCTGACCAGCTCTTTTGTAAAAGCAATCCGAGTGGCTAACTAGCTGCTGGATCACTTTTACAAGCAGTGCCACCTTCCGTTGACTGTTCCGTGCCACTGGGACACCCAATCAGCCAGCCGACACTTCCACCAGCTGCTCATAGAGGCGGACAAAGACTGGAGCCGCTCTGTCTAATTCTATGATATAGGAAACCAGAAGCAATGAGCATACATCACGTCCAGTTACCTCGGATGTAAAAGGACATTTTTTTAAAAAGAGAAGCATTTAATCACACAGATCGTGTTGTGATCAAATGCTTTATGCACGCATGCAAATGTGAACACACGGGTCAGTCCCGCACACATGCAAACTGCGGTAATACCTCACATGTGTGGGATGATCGCTAACACCAGATCATGAGCAGTAATTCTAGCACCAGACCTCTTCTGTAAATCTAAAGTGGTAACCTGTAAAGGCTTTTAAAGCGTCGCCTATGGATAGTTAATTTATATCATTTGTTGCCGTTGCACAGGCAATTTTAAAGCGTTACGTTTGGTATCTTTTTACTTGGCGTAAGATCATCTTATTTATTTTACCAAACATTGGTACTTTTGTTTTTTTTTTTTTTTTTTTGCATTAAAATTTTTTAAAAAGTGTAAATTTATTCCCAAAAAATTGCTTCTGAAAAACCGCTGCACGAATACCATGTGAAATAAAAAATTGCAACACCCATCAATTTATTCTCTAGGGCAGGGGTCTCCAAACTATGGCCCTCCAGCTGGTGATATACTACAAGTCCCATCATGCCTCTGGGAGTCTTGCCTGTGGCTGGCAGAGTCTTGCAAGGCCTCATGAGACTTGCAGTTCCTCAACACCTGGAGAGCCATATTTTGGAGACCCCTGCTCTAGGGCCTCTGCTTTAAAAAAAAAAAAAAATAATAATAATAATATATATATATGTATATATATATATATGTATGTGTGTGTGTGTATATATAATGTATATATGTTTGGGGGTTCTAAATAGTTTTCTAGCAAAAAATAAAAGTTTAAGTTGCCATAAAGCCCCTTTCTTTTTACAAAGCCGCAGACATTCGTAAAAGCACCTCTGCCTACAAAAAACATACAATCTTCTTATTTTACATCCTGGTAAAAACAAGTAGATTGTCATGAGGGACAAGTAGACTGGGACCCCAGTTTTGTCCCTTGGACAAGTAGTTTTTGTTTTTTTTAATTTCCACACCCCTGATAGCTTAACTTGTAAACAAAACCAAAACTTTATCATTTTACCCAATTATTTTACATTACATTTTTTTTATTATAAATGTGTACAGGATCCACTTGATTGATAAAATGTAAACGCCTATTGCAACACCCCATGGGGGTCACTTAGTACGCTCACGGTCCACCTGGTTAGATCCTCCAACATGCAGCAGGACCACAGAGAAACAATCATGAAGATTATCCTAAATGGAAAAATGGAATTACTTTTTTCTGCCAGAAAGATGTAAAGAAAGATGCTTGCTCTTTGTGTGGAAGCAGTGGTCTCTCTGCATGTTTCTAAACACAACCATTGCTGAGACAGAGCTAGATCTCTCCAATAAGCAGAGAACATGTGCTTTGCTGATTACGGAGCTTTATGTCTGACTAAGTAACAAGTGTACTGTGCCTTTTTTGTTTATATTTTTTTTTTATTGTGAGCTTGCAATATATTGAACTTTCATTGACAGCAGCCTATTTCTCTTTTTTTTCTTTGTGCTGACTTCTTTCTGTTCATCACAGTAAGCAGTGTGCAAGACCTCTTTAGAGAGACCACTGCTTCCACACAGAGAGAAAGGCTCCTTCTCTGCAGTATGCTGGCATGGGACAAGCCTTTCTACTCAGGCTGTGGCTTTCTAAAGAAAACAAACTGTAAGACTTTTGCATACCTTTTGTTTTGATATATCTGGAATACCAATTTAAAGTGAAGGTTTGATTGGGTTTTAAAAATGAAACAAACCATTTTTACCATCATTTCACAGAATTTGATGTCACTGTAGAATAAGAAAGTCTATCATTCTATAGAAAAAAAAAGATTAGCTTCATTAACAATATATTTTCAAAATGTGTGAATGCCATTAGACAAAATATCCAATAACTGATAATCACTGAAATAAATAATGACCAGTTGGTGAGATTATAGTCTCCGCTTTCTCAATATCAACAATAGTCATCTCACTTTACTAGTATGCAGCCCATATTATACAAGCTTACCATCAACACACTAGAGAGTAGTGGTGATGTCCCATGGAAGGTCCCTGTAGGGTGAACTAGAGATCACCTCCTCCTCCTCTAGTTTACAAAGCAGCTTTGTGCAAGGCTTGTGACTGAATTTTTACATATGTGAAAGAGTAGGAGAGGATTGGGTAGTCATCTGAATGTAATCATTAACTGCATATGTACAGCCAAATGGGAAAGTTTTGCAAGAATCACACCTGTCACAATGTAGTTGAGAAATATACCAACGATTTGTCACAAACAATGCTGTATACAAGTTACAGGATGAGATTCAAAACAAAACTGTCAAGGCATTTGAAAAGCAAATTGCAAAAAGATCTAAAACTACATATGTCAGAAAGGCTTGTTCAATCAATTTCAATTTACAATTTATAATCAGTTTTCTTAAAGAGACCCTGTCATTAGCTCATACCTTGGAAATGTAAATCCTTGCAGCAGTACAGCAACATTTACTTAAGCAGGTCATAGATGATAAGATTTTCTTTCCTTCCCTCATCAAAGGGAATACCTCCCACAGAGCTGTTCTGAATTTTTGTTCCTTTAGCCATACACTAGTTAATTTTGCATGGTTTAAATTCTTTTCTTTGAAAGTTAACATTTAAGGGGGGGGGGGGGTTGAGCCCTTTGCTATATATAGGGAATATTTGCTTTCTAAGATGGTTTTGCATTGTTTTTTGGTGGCCCCTGCTGCATGGTAAAGGACCCAACCGGGCTGATCGGGAAACTACTAGGTAAAATACTATAGATTTTTTTTATATAATATTTGGGTGGGCTCTATTCTCTTGGCAGGTTCAATTCTCAGATAACTTTTTGTCCATTCAGCCATATATTTAATATCTTGTATGGGCTGAAATCCTTTCCTATGGGGAGGTTTTTTTATAGCCACTTGCTATATATAGGGCTTTTTACTCAGGCTGTGGCTGTTTTCTACAGAAAATGAGCTTGTAAGTTTTTGCACATCTTTTGTTTTGATGCATGTGGATTGTATTTAGCTGTTTTAAACTGAAAGTTGTTTTGTCTTTAAGATGGTAAACTGAAAATGATATGTACAAGGTACGTGTGCATACTGGTTGGATACCTTTTTTTTCTATAAAAACCCACTTCCAGTTTAAAGGTTAAGTTCACCTTTCCTAACAACATGTTACACCTGTATTCAGGCTGTATCATGGTACTGATGCAGCAGCTCCCCCTTCCCTGATCCCCCATTGTGACAGCAGAACGGGGATGTTCTCCCTGCACCCACTTGCACAATTTTAAAAAAGCAGTCGTTCGGGGCTCTGCCCTCCTAGCCGCATCATTCATTCACAGAGCTGTGCGAATGGGAGAACTACAATTACTGTCAGCCATCACGGCTGATGGCTTGTAGTACTCGACGAACTACCAGGGCACTGTTGAGCGCTTTAGGTGGTTCATTGATTCTTCCTGTCATTGTGTAACTGCCTGCCCATACGAGATACAAGCAGACCGCCTAAAATGACAGTCTGCAAGAGCCCTGCATTGCACCCCCCATCTGCTGATCGCGGGTGCAATGCTTTTACAAGCTCCTAACAGTTAAAAATAATAATTGCACATATTTTTGTTTTCCTTGCAAAAAAATGTGCATTTTTGTATTTATTTTACAGCAGGTAACTTCTCTTCTTAAACCACCTGTGTGGTGCCAGTGCATAGTGTGGTGACTTTACATGCTGGGCTGCTTTTATAACACCTCTTCCAGTTCATATGCAGAAATGGCAGTTTCAGATTTTGGCTGCAGCACCATCTACAGGAATGACTTGGAACTGCACCTTGGTTATTGAAATAGCATGACTTGTGACTATTGTTTTGCATTAATGGTCAGTCCTGCCTTATGACAGTGAGGTTTTAGGAAGGGTTTCCCCTCTCCTAAAACCTCATTGCTTTATCCTAAGCAATATATATATATAATCCAGATGATTTTCTCTTATAATTTTCATACCATATAACCGCTTTTCCATTTTTTTTCCTTTATTCAATCCTACAGGCCAACAGCAGCAGAACTTTTGAAGCACAAATTTTTCCAGAAAGCAAAGGTATGTGATCTGTTTATAAAGATGATAAATCAGAAGATAAATCCTGGGGTGAATATTTTATGGGTTTTTTAGCTGTAAACATTAAGAGATAATTACTGTAAACTGTGAGCAGTTTGAGAGATTCCATTATGTCCTCTACCTCACAGCTTCCTCATTTTCACATAAGAGCTTTTTATCACTGCTATTTCTAGAAGAAGGTCAGACTCTCTGTGTCAGTATATAAAACCAGTTCTGAACACGTTGTGTATTTTTTGGCACTTTAGGCCACTGGCCAGCAAGTGCTGTGAAGCTATCCCTAACAAGCAATCAGAATTCACTTTCTTTAGGTTGTCTGCACTGAACAATTGCATCCTGATTTCTGACTGGATGCTGTCATATATAAGACATCATTGCTGTTTGTGCTGTTATTAAATATACTTGCTTATATTTTCTGTTTGTTAGGACTATAATACAACCTTTCTTACAAGATGGCAGTTTTGTACCTGTTTGTTATTATGTTTGTGTTTTGGATATCTTGGCTATGATTTAGTGGCTACCACCAGTGGAACATAGAGACCATACCCACTATCCTCTAGCTGCAAAAGATTAAAAAAAAAAAAAAACTTCTAAAAGAACTCTGAATGGTGCCACTGTTGGCATCCTTTTGAAATGTTAGTTGCCTGACCATCATGCTGATCCAGTGTTTAGTAAACCAGTTATTCTAAAAGTACTGAAGCTTGACAGCCAGGCAAGCAGCATTTTCAGAAGATAATCAACAGTAAGAATACCGGTATTTCTTTCCAACTTTAGAAACAAAAAACACTTTGTGGTCAGTTGTTACTGTTTATGGAGTCTTCCTTCTTATTGCAAGGGCGAATGTCACCCGCACACCGAGGATCACCAATATGAGTCCAAAAGTGTTAATAAACGATCACATAGTTACCGCAAGGCAACGTTTCGGAGTCTCGCAGGACTCCTTCATCAGGCATGTGGCCTTCATCAGCACATGCCTGATGGAGTCCTGCGAGACTCCGAAACGTTGCCTTGCTGTAACTATGTGATCGTTTATTAAAACTTTTGGATCCATATTGGTGATCCTCGGTGTGCTGGTGACATTCTCCCTTGCTGATTCTGTTCAGTTCCAGCTGACGGTCACTGCAGCACCCCACTTAATTAATTTGGGTTCTTCTCAAGATTTGTATATTATACATTTTTTTTTTTTTTTTTTTTTTACATTCTTCTCAAGCCTTCTTTAAGATGAATGAACTGAAAATTCTAAACCATGTGGATGTAATGGTCCATTTGTTATTATCTTTTGCTGACTGACTGAAACTAATAAATTCATTCCTGTTTCCAGAACAAAGAATTCTTACAGGAGAAGTTGCTGCAAAGAGCCCCCACCATCACAGAGAGAGCCAAGAAGGTATGATGTGTCCCGTGAGAATGGATACACTGTGTGGGTCAAGATATACCACATCTCATAGAATCCCCAATGAATATCACGCTGACAACAACTTATCTTTGTAACGTTGAGGGTTAGATTAGAGCAGCTGTTAGCATCAGCTACTCTGCTACAAACTTTGAAAGCAAAAGTACATTCCAGTGTGCAGATGGTTTTTAGTTATAATTGTAAGTGTTTACCTTAATGTAATTTTTTTTAAATAACTATCGCGTCTTAAATGCTTGTTCATCCAGCTTTTTTGCAATTGTACTAAATATAGTAATGCATAGTTTTGCCACTAGACGGCCCTACTTAACAATTGCTGAGAGTAGATAACAGACACATGCAGAGTCCATTGTATTCATTGGCAGGCCATACATTTATACAATTTTATTTCGCTCAGCCGTTGGAAAATTTTATTTAGGAAAGAAAATTGCTTGATTCCCCCATCAACACAGTCAGTGTTCATGGGAGAATCCTTCCTGCTGCGCTATTGTAATCTGACAGCGGAACGTTTTCCAGGCATTGCAATACAATGATCACTAGCCACTGGCAGTGATCGAATGGGGAAAAAAAACCCCTACAGACTGGTTGTACTTAAGTCGATTGATGGATCGACGTCTGTGCCACCAGCCTGCCCATAGATGGATCAAAATTTGGTGGTTACCTGCTGAACTGTCTGAATGATACATCTATGGCCAGCTTTAGGTTACAGACCTACATACTTGCATTGTGCAGCACTACAAAGCAGGATGTGGGGCCTGCAAATATAAAACAAGAATGCTGCACCCGTGTACATACAGCTACAAGCTATACCCCGATCAGCTATGACAGATAAAGTGAACAACATTGATTATCTCGTTCCAATGGCATCTGGAAATGGCTGGGATATATTAGGCACCAAGTGAAGGCATTGTCCCTGTAGTTGATGTGTTGAAGCAAAAAAAAGTGTAGTTTTGAGTGTGGTTGCCATCATTCCTATTTCCATAATAGAGAGAACTACATCTTACATTTAATGGGATTTTAAGGCAACCTTGGAGTATACACAAAGAAACCAATTTAAAAGATCAACATTTTATTTAAACAAATTTCTTTTGTTTAGCAGATCAGCACATATAAGGTAGACATTGCATATTAATTCAGCCTGGGATCCCAGGCTGAATATATCTGCAGTCAAAATGGAAATCAGCTTTGAGGTATCCCACTGGATACATATCGCAATAACTACAGTTTTGCTAAGTGAATGAGTTGTTAAAACTGATGTATTTTATATTTGTTAATATGCAATGTCTACCCTATATGTGCTGATTTGCTAAACAAAAGAAATTTGTTTAAACAAAATTTTGATCTTTTAAATAATTGGTTTCTTTGTGTATACTCCAAGGTTACCTTAAAAAGCCCATTAAATGTAAGCTGTAGTTCTATTACGAGAAGCCAGATTAAACTTTGCCAAAAAAAAATCTAAAAAAGCCAGACCAATTCTGGAAAAGCATTCTTTGGACAATGAAACTAAGATTAATCTGTACCAGAATGACGCAAAGAAAAAAGTGTGGAGAAGGCTTGGAACCGCTCATGATCCAAAGCACACAACGTCATCTATAAAACATGGTGGAGGCAGTGTGATGGCATGAGCATGCAAGGCTTCCAGTGCACTGGGTCATTGGTGTTTATTGATGATGTGACAGAAGACAGACACAGCCAGAGGAATTCTGCAGTGTTCAGAGATATACTGTCAGCCCAGATTCAGCAAAGTTGACTGGATGGCGCTTCACGGTACAGATGGACAATGATTCAAAACACACTGCAAAAGCAACCCAGGGGCTTTTGAAGGAAAAGAAGTGGAATATTCTGCAATGGCCAAGTCAATCACCTGATCTCAACCCAATTGAGCATGCATTTCACTTGCTGAAGGCAAAACTAAAGGCAGAAAGACCCACAAACAAAGAACAACTTAGGGCAGCTGCAGTTAGAGCCTGTCAAAGCATCAGAAAGGAGGAAACCCAGTCTTTGGTAATGTCCATGGGTTCCAGACTTCAGGCAGTGATTGCCAGTAAAGGATTCTCAACAAAATATTAAAAATGAACATTTTATGTGTGATTATATTCATTTGTCCAGTTACATTTGAGCTTCTGAAAACAGAGGGACTGTGTATAAAAATGGTTGCAGTTCCTAAAATTTTGTACTTGATATGTTCAACCCCTTGAATTAAAGCTGAATGTCTGCACTTCAAATTCATTTGGATTGTTTCATTTTAATTTATTCTGGTGGCATATAGAGCCAAAAGTATGGAAATTGTGCCTGTGTCCAAATATATATGGACCTAACTAGGTATAAATACAACTAACTTTAAAACAAAATGTATTCATTTTTGAAGTCTAATAAATTGATTGTTCGATATTTATGTGAGAGATCAAGTTAATATAAACCATCATATTTGTGTGTGTTGCTGTATTGAAAGTTTTGTTTGTTCACATACCTTGTAATTATCGATGTTACTGGGGGCTGCCATATTTGATTCTCTTAGCTCACTGTTGACTAAAACAACACTTTGCCATAATGATTTGTACCTAGGGACAATAGGCTTGATTTACAATCTAACATAATAAAGATAAACTTTTTTCATTATTTTCAAAGAGCGAGTTACCGTATTTTTCGCTCCATAAGACGCACCTAGGTTGTAGAGGCGAAAAACAAGAAAAAAAAAATTATTCTGAACCAATGGACTGCAGACATAGTACAGGGAATGACCAGAGACTGCAGACATAGTACAGGAGATGACCAGAGACTGCGGACACAGTACAGGAGATGACCAGAGACTGCGGACACAGTACAGGAGATGACCAGAGACTGCGGACACAGTACAGGAGATGACCAGAGACTGCGGACACAGTACAGGAGATGACCAGAGACTGCGGACATACTACAGGAGATGACCAGAGACTGCGGACATACTACAGGAGATGACCAGAGGCTGCGGACATACTACAGGAGCGGACCAGAGGCTGCGGACATACTACAGGAGATGACCAGAGGCTGCGGACACAGTACAGGAGATGACCAGAGACTGCGGACACAGTACAGGAGATGACCAGAGACTGCGGACACAGTGCAGGAGATGACCAGAGACTGCGGACACAGTGCAGGAGATGACCAGAGACTGCGGACACAGTGCAGGAGATGACCAGAGACTGCGGACACAGTGCAGGAGATGACCAGAGACTGCGGACACAGTGCAGGAGATGACCAGAGACTGCGGACACAGTGCAGGAGATGACCAGAGACTGTGGACACAGTACAGGGAAAATACCAGGGACACAGTACAGATGACCAGCGACTGCAGACAGTGCAGGGAATAACCAGAGACTGCAGACAGTGCAGGGGATGACCAGAGACTGCTGACCTTTGGGGAGGGAGGGGGAGCGGGTACCTGAATTTGACAGGTACCCGCTCCCACTTCCGCAGAGTTGTCTTTCCCTCTTCTTCCCACGCCGGTTTCTGTGACAGCCGGGTGCCCACTGCGCATGCGCGAGAAGCGCTGCGCTTTATGAATGGCCCGGCGCCTTCTGGGACCTGTCATGTGTCCCAGAAAACACTGGACCATTCACAAAGTGCAGCGCATGCGCAGTGGGCACCTGGCTGTCACAGAAGCTGGAGCGAGGAACAGGTAAGGCCTTGCAGGAGAGAACAGCTGAGCGGCCTGCCTGGTATTCTGACACGGTGGAGGCAGAAATACCAGACCGGGCCGCTTTATATTCGCTCCATAAGATGCACTGACATTTTTCCCCCTTTTTTGGGGGAAAAAAGTGCGTCTTATGGAGCGAAAAATACGGTATCTTTAGTTACGTCTAGTGGTGCACCGAAATGAAAATTCTGGTGCCGAAACTGATACCGAAAAATTCAGAATGCATGTGGCCGAAACCCGAAATCGAAATGTCTGCATATGTGGGGGAGGCTCCAATTTTGTTTTGTCTTTTCTTCCTACTTTCATGTATATTTTTATTTTTTTTAACTTATGATTTTATTGCTATCACATAGGGGACCAATAGACCCCTATGTGATAGCATATGAGTAACAGGTCCTCTTGTAGGGGGGAGGGGGTGGGGGGCAGTGTGTGCAAGGAGGGGGCAGGAGAGGAGCAGTAGTGTATACAGTGAGGGAGCAGTGTATACAGAGAGGCTCACTCACTGGCTGTCACTATGGGGTTTATTTAATAAAGCTGGAGAGTGCAAAATCAGACTCACTTCTGCATAGAAACCAATCAGCTTCCAGGTTTCATTGCCAAAGCTTCATTGAACAAGCAGAGGTTAGAAGCTGATTGGTTTCTATGCAGAAGGGAGTCTGATTTTGCACTCTCCAGCTTTAGTAAATAAACCCCTATATGTCAGTGCCGGTTTTTAAATGCAATTGCTGCCTTTTTTTTTTATTCTCTATAGCTTACAGAATTAGCTGTCACTTTCTCGGGAAATAAACTAAAAGGAAACTTTGTTTCTTTTAACTTAAAAGGAAACTGTTTCTTTTAGATGGGGGGAAATTGACAGCTAATTCTGTGAGCTATAGTGAAGAAAAAAAAGCTGGTAATTACATTTAAAAGCCGGCACTGACATAGTGACAGCCAGTCACTGTATACACTTTTCTGCTCCTGCCTGTTTGTTTTTTCAAGAAAAATTTTCTATTTTGCTCCTTCGAAATTTCCTGTCACTGTGCGTGAAAATGAACATGAATTTTGACCCACTAATGATTAAAAAAAACAAACGGACTTTCTTAGAACCTTCTTCTCTTTTCATTGAAAATTCTACCCATCTATGGACAGCTTTAGACTGGTGTTAGAGCTTTGTGAATTGAGTCTAATGTTACTAAAGGTAGGAGATAAGAAACAATTGCTGACATTTGATCTCTTCAGTTATTGAAAAGTAAAGATGTTCCATGAATCTATTTGTGTGTGTATATCCCACCTTAATCACAGATTTTATTTGAAAGGGTTGTTTCACCTTCAAAGATGGAGTTGTTTACTACCACTTTAAGAAAAACAAATAAAAAAAAAATACTCTGTGCAGCCAATATACACAATAGCATCCCTAAGCCGTTTTTGCAATGACAAAAGCCTGCCGGAAAACTGCAAATGCTCTACATGGCTCCGCTCTGTCATATTTCTTGGATGGCAGCCCTTAGGACAAGCATCCCCTGGAGCTAGAGCCCCACATGTACAGTGTGCTTTCCTTACTGACGGCTCTGAAGAGCTCAGTGGCTGTAATAGGAGAGCAAGAGAGAGTGCACTATGCATATGCAGTGATCACAGAGCTGCTGAGGTTGGCTTTGTACACTGTCTGTGCACCAAGCCCAGTTAACAGCTCAGTTAACAGTCATTAAGGGTATATTGGTTATCTGAGGGTGATTTCTTTAGTCCTGTTTGAAAACAGCAGGAATAAATGCCCACCCTCTCCGGCTCTCTGTGCCCCCCTACTTGCAGTCGGTTCCAGTGATGCAGCTTCGGTCAAAGTCTTTGCTATTCAACACTTCCAAAGGTGTTGGATAACTTGTCCCCACTTTTCGTGGGTGGTAGGGAACAGTCATCTGACACTTTGGGAGCTTCTAAATGTGTAAGACACCGATGGATACTGCATTATTGGAGTCAATTGCACGTAACCCATGGCCACTGAAGAGCTGAGCATACTACCTCTTATGTTGCAGGGAGGCTTTGTTTTGTTTGAGTCCCCCTGTTGGGGGGACACATTGAACTTCGATGAGTGGTCTCTTTATTGATGGGGAAATTGTCTATTGGCAGGTTCGGAGAGTACCAGGGTCAAGTGGTCGGCTTCATAAAAACCGAAGATGGAGGCTGGGAATGGAGTGATGATGAGTTGGATGAGGAGAGTGAGGAGGGGAAAGCAGCTGTTTTACAACTTAGGGTAATTGCAGGACTTCTCATTTGTAAAATCAATGTGTTTTCATTTATCAGTTTATTGTTGATTTCTAGTAATAAAGTCATTAGTCAGACTCAATCATAGTCTCATACGTGACTGCATTTTACATTACCTTGTAGATTTTTTTTTAGCTTCTAAGTAGATAAGTATCTCTGAACAGACTTTTTATATCCAAATCCCAACCATGATGACTTCGCTGAACTTAATTGTAAGGGGTTTTTTTTGCCTTATTGCTTTTTCATTTATTGATTTTTAACACCAAAAAAAAAAAGAGGTAAACATGACAATGAGAAAAACATGACAATGAGAAAATGCACAATGCATACTCCATGCAATATTTAAAGTGTATCTAAACCCAAGAACAAAATGTAAAAGATTGCAGTTTACCAGTCTTTATATGTGGTGGCTGCATTTTTTCCCTGTCATTTTCCCTTTATTTTCACCTGGTGAGCCTGCTAGTAAGGCATTTCCTATCCTAGAGTGATAATACTCCGTCATTGTACTGTAGTATTAGAGGAGTGGAGTTGTCACCTGGACAGGGCTGATAACACTGCAAAGTGCACAGGACACTGGCTTTCTGCCAGGATCAACAGGTATATATTTGCACTTATTATACATATATATAACAAAACACTTTCAATTGTATATTTTACAGACCATAAGGAAGCGTTTAGTCCACTTTATGGTTTACATACACTTTAAACAGAAAAAGCCCTTAGTTCTGTGTAGGCTCTGTCCAAATATTCCGGAATTTACATGCAACTTCTCTTACCCTCTGGGGGTGAACTGAGTAGCAAGGGGGGTTAAAGGGGTTGGTAAATAAGTGTCCCTGTTGTTTTGCCCTGCAAAGTCAAAAACACAGGTTCAGTTTAACCTGTACATGTCAGATGTTTATGTGGCAGATTAGGATGTTTGCCCAGTGATAGAATGGTGTTTGCTTTAACTGATATCTAATGCTCTGCATTATACTAAATGGCTTGTGTTTATTTCTTTCAGTCTCCACGTGTGAAAGATTCTGTACAGAATTCTGAGGTGAGTAGTGCTGCTCTCCCTCTCAGCACTAATGTAGGCTCGCTCTTCGGGATATATAGTAGGATCCCCTCTTTTTGTTGGATTTTTCACATTTGTATATTAAAATCTGTCTGCTGTTTGGTATACAGTATACCCTATGTATATATGGACATATAATACAGTCCTTGGGTGACCATAAAAGCTTCAGTAAAGCAAGTGAAAATCCTGATTTTAAAGTAGGAGTAAACTCCGTTTGTTGTTTTGTACCCAGGGGCGGACTGACAACTCATGCAATAGGGCAATAGGGGATCATGGGGCCCCTGTGTCCTTGCCCAAACTAAAAAAAAGCCTATGAAAAAGGTACCAGGGGCATCTCATGGGGCCCCCTACTGACCCCAGGCCCTCGGGCAGTGCCCGAGTTTCCAAATGGTCAGTCCACCGCTGTTTGTACCTACAGGTAAGCCTATAATAAAGCTCACCTGTAAGTACAATAAATATCTCCTAGACATGCACCGTTTAGGAGATATTTACATGCGAAGCAGCGGGTAACACCACTGGCAGAATCACACCGCGCTCTCAGTGGACAGCATGCCGTCCATTGAGAGAAATGTGCCGTGGCCATAACTCCCGTACGCATGTGTGGGTGTGACGTCATCGTGTTTCTGCAGTTGAAGCGGCCACAGCCCATGAACCCGGAAGGAAGACCCCGTGAAGACGGATTCCCTGTCAGCAGTGAGAGGGTGCTGATGGAAGGATCCGTTTCACAGGTAAGTCTGTCACAATGTGCTAGTATGCGATGCAGTTTTTTTCTTTTCTTTTTTTTATGTGGTTTACTACTGCTTTTAAGCATTGAGTCATTGAGTCATTTTTGGCAATCTGAGCATTAATTACCAAGCAGAGTGTTATAATTGACACCCACAATGTAGGGACACAAGGATCAATTATCCAACTTATTGATAACTTTACTTGCCAGTTGGGTAAGAGGTCTCTATGCAGGTGTATGTGGGGGGGAATAAGTACTTGCACATGTCCTGATGTTACACTGATCTGCATCAGTTATTTTAGAATTATGTGCTCACTTAAAGTGACCCTGTCAGCAAAAAAGTACAGGGGTGCCATTGCTGGCCTCCTGATAAAGCTACATTTTGGATTTTGCTTCTGTCAATCACAGCCAGTGAGGAGTGAGTGGGGGCGGGGCTGAACCACACTCTGTGTGCCTTATGCACAAAACCATTGCACAGACAGGTAAGTATGACATGTTTGTTTAAAAAAAAAAAAAAAAAAAAAAACTGAAACTTTAGTATCACTTTGACTGGCTTTGGACCATATTGCCCTTAGATTTAGGTTTGCTTGCTGTTATGATTAAAGCGAAAGTAAACTTTCTTTTTAAACCTTTCCCTATATAAACGTTCAACGTACATGATATCTATACTTGTATGGTTGTGCCCCATTGAAAAGTTTCCTTTATTTATTTAGGAGCTGTCATAAAGCTGTGCAGTTTGCCTATTCGTTTCCATATTTGTGAGACTCAAGTCCCTGCATTAGTGCTTGCATCACATCTATGCAATGTTTTGGAAAGGTGCAGGAACTTTTTATATGCAGAGCATAGTGCATTTTGGCTGCATAGACTTATTTATTTATTTCAGGTACTTATATATAGCACCGTCAATTTATGCAGCGCTTTATATATATATATATATATATATTATATATATATATATATATATATATTGTACATTCACATCAGTCCCTAACCCTCAAGGGGTGTACAATCTAAGGTCCCTAACTCACATTCATACATACACATAATAGGGACAATTTAGACAGGAGCCAATTCACCTACCAGCATGTCTTTGGTGTGTGGGAGGAAACCGGAGTACCCGGAGGAAAACCCATGCAGCACAGGGAGAACATGTAAATTCCAGGCAGGTGGTGCCATGGCTGGAATTTGAACCAACGACCCTTGTACTGCCAGGCGGAAGTGCTAACCATTTAGCCACTATGCCACCCAACTTCAATGAAATTGCATCTAAAAATGCATATACATGCATTTTTGATGCATTATTGCTGCATTTTCCTGCTTGAAAACACACCTCCTCCTACTAGCATCAACACACAGCCTGCCATTGAGCAAAACCTGCATAAAAAAACACACTGCACAAGAGCATTAACCATACATGCATAGATGTGAACTTAAAGGATAAGCTCACCTTTTGGACAAAAATAATAAATGCACATTTTTTTGCAGGTAAAAAAAATGTGCATTTATTATTTTTGCCCAAAGGAGCCTGGAAAGCATTGCAACAGCAATCAGATCGCTGATGCCATGCAGGTCTCCTGCAGACCTGTCAGAATATCTGATTGCTGTACGGGATGTACGGTCAAGCAGGTATACTGACAGGAAGCTTCAATGAACTACCACGGTGCTCCACAGCGCCCTGGTAGTTCATTGAAAACTACAAGCCTATAGCCACTAAGGCTGTCTGGACTTGTAGGCACTTATTCACAGAACACTGCCCCGCATGGCCAAGCGGTTTTCAAATCTGACATATAGTATGGGAAAATTATCCCGTATTATCTGTCGGAGGGAGGGGGCTGCAAGTATGGGAACATGTTACATGTTCCACCCTAAAAACAGGAGGCACATGTAGCATGTTCCAAAGGTGAACTTATCCTTTAACCTATGTTGTGGATATTAGAATGTGAACGTCCCTGAGGGCAGTGACTGAGAAGTGTGGCTCTATGGTTTGTAAAAAACTGCATGTTATGTCCTACAGTCATGGCCGAAATTGTTGGCACCCTTGATATTTTTCCTGAAAATCAAGTATTTCACACAAAAAAGGTATTGCATTAAACACACATGTTTTGCTATACACATGTTTATTCCCTTTGTATGTATTGGAACAAATATAAAACAGAGGCAGAAAAGAATAAGTCATCAAAACCCAAATATGACATAATGTCACACAAAACCCAAAAATGGGCTGGACAAAAGTATTGGCACCCTTAACTTAATATTTGGTTGCACACCCTTTGGAAAACATAACTGAAATCAGTCGCTTCCTATAACCATCAATAAGCTTCTGACACCTCTCACCCGGAATTTTGGACCACTCTTCCTTTGCAAACAGCTCCAGGTCTCTCTTATTGGAAGGACACCTTTTCCCAACAGCAATTTTTAAGATCTCTCCACAGTGTGTTCAATGGGATTTAGATCTGGGCTCATTGCTGGCCACTTCAGAACTCTCCAGCGCTTCTTTGCCATCCATTTCTGAGTGCTTTTTGACGTATGTTTGGGGTCATTGTCCTGCTGGAAGACCCAGGATCTTGGACGCAAAACCCAGCTTTCTGACACTGGGCCCTACAGTGCGACCCAAAAATCCTTTGGTAATCCTCAGATTTCATGATGCCTTGCACACAGTCAAGGCACCCAGTGCCAGAGGCAGCAAAACAACCCCAAAACATCATTGAACCTCCACCATATTTTACCGTAGGTACTGTTGTTTTGTTCTTTGTAGGCCTCATTCCGTTTTCGGTAAACAGTAGAATGATGTGCTTTACCGAAAAGCTCTATCTTGGTCTCATCTGTCCACAAGACGTTTTCCCAGAAGGCTTTTGGCTTACTCAAGTACATTTTGGCAAACTGTAGTCTTGCTTTTTTATGTCTCTGTGTCAGCAGTGGGGTCCTCTGGGTCTCCTGCCATAGCGTTTCATTTCATTTAAATGTCGACGGATAGTTCGCGCTGACACTGATGCTCCCTGAGCCTGCAGGACAGCTTGAATGTCTTTGGAACATGTTTGGGGCTGCTTATCCACCATCCGGACTATTCTGCGTTGCAATCTTTCATCAATTTTCCTCATCCGTCCACGACCAGGGAGATTAGCTACAGTGCCATGGGTTGCAAACTTCTTGATAATGTTGCGCACTGTGGACAAAGGCAAATTAGTTCTCTGGAGATGGACTTGTAACCTTGAGATTGTTGATATTTTGCCACAATTTTGGTTCTCAGGTCCTCAGACAGTTCTCGTCTCCTCTTTCTGTTGTCCATGCTTAGTGTGGCACAGACAGACACACAATGCAAAGGTTAAAGTGAACGTCTCTCCTTTTTATCTGCTTTCAGGTGTGATTTCTATATTGCCCACACCTGTTACTTGCCCAGGTGAGTTTACAGGAGCATCACATGCTTGTAACATTCTTATTTATCCGCAGTTGTGAAAGGGTGCCAATACTTTTGTCCAGCCCATTTTTGGAGGTTTGTGTGACATTATGTCGAATTTGCTTTCTTTCCTCCCTTTTTTTTTGTTTTGTCCCAATACACACAAAGGGAATAAACATGTGTATAGCAAAACATGTGTTAATGCAATACGTTTCGTGAGAAATACATGATTTCCTGGAGAAATATCAAGGGTGCCAACAATTTCGGCCATGACTGTATATAAACCTGTATTAGTGTGTGAATTACATATAGTCAGTTTTTCTATTGGAATGCTTGCACCCTTTTCAAGAAGCAACTTATTTGGGCTCAAAGTAAGCAGCTGGGTGTTGGGTTAGTGTAAATGTGCTGTTATGAAAAGCATAAAGTTAGTATTAATTCTTCATTAAATCTGCCTGTATTTGTATTTAGCTGTTTCCTGGAACAGAGCCAGGCTCAGCCTATCTCCAGACTCCAGCACAGCCCACAGCCAATCTACCTCAGTCATCTGGCCAAGCTCCGCCTTCCCAAGTGTCTGTCCCTGTGCCATCTACTGGACTGGTAAATAAGCAATCATACATCATACACTAGCTGGAAGGACAGTTTTTCTTTTAGGTGAAACTAGACATACCGAGACTATTGTGCACATTTACAAGGAAACCCTACTGATTTGTGTTCAGTTCTATTTTTTTTTTTAAGTTTTTACATGTTTTAATAAATGCAGAATATCTGTATATAAACATGTACAGTGGATATAGAAAGGAATCACCCCCTTTAAAATAATCACATTTTGTTGCTCTGCAGCCTGAAATGAGGGTTTTATCCATATGTATTTACTCAGTGAAACTTATAACATCAAAGAGAAAGATATAATACCAACATGTCAGGTAAAAAAAAAATTCAATAAAAAACAGAATCACTGAGTTGGAAAAAGGATCATCCCCCTTGTGTCAGTATTTTGTTGAACCACCTATTGCTTTAATTCCAGCCTTTAGTCTGTTGGGATATGTTTCTACTAAGTTTGCACATCTAGACTTTGCAACATCTGTCCACTCTTCTTTGCAGAACTGCTCAAGTTCAGTTAAATTTGATGGTGACCATTTGTGGACTGCAGTTTTCAAGTCATTACAGTTGTTTTTTTTCAGTGGGGTTTAAGTCTGGGCTCTGAATAGGCCATACAAGGACATTCACCCTTTTCTCCTTCAACCACTGTGTTGTCATTTTTGCTGTGTGTTTTGGGTCATTGTCATGTTGGAAGGTAAAACCTTCTTCCCATTGATAACTTTCTGACAGAGAGCAGCAGATTTTCATCAAGAATTTGAAGATATTTTGCCCAGCCATTTTTCCTTTTGTCCTTCTATTGAAGTTCTCCAGTCCCTGCTGCAGAGATACACCCCTGTAACAGGATATTACCACCTCCATGCTTTACTGTAGGAATGGTGTTGTTTGGATGGTGAGCTGTATTGGATTTCCGGCAGACATATCGTTAAATGTTGAGGCCAAATAATTCAATTTTAGTCTCATCTGACCATAACACCTTTTTCCATTTGGCCTCGGAATCTTCAAGGTGCGTTTTGGCAAAGCTCAGTCATGACTGCATGTGGCCTTTCTTGAGTGTCTTTTTTCTTGCAACCCTCTCATACATGCCACATTTCTGGAGAATTTGTGATATTGTCACATGCACACAATGACCACTCTTTGTCATCAATTCCTGAAATTACTTCACAGATGCTGTAGGCCTCTTGTAGCCTCTCTGACCAGTTTCCTCCTAGCTCTTCCATCTAGTTTGGAGCAACGTCCTGATCCAGGGAGGGCCTGTATTGTATCAAATACCTTCCACATCTTAAAAATAGACTTCACTGTGCTTCTAGGTATTGATAAAGCCTTTGAATGTTTTTTCTGTATACATCTCCTGACTTGTGCCTGTCCACAACTTTATACTGGATATCTTTTGACAGTTCCTTGCCACCCATAGTTAATTGTTTGCTTCAGTTGCACTATCAGGGACTGAAATGCTTTAGGAAAGCTCTTTTCATGCTGAGCTAATCAAAATGACCACAGCTGATCACAGTTGAAAGTCAAATAGCTTTGTGTGCCACTGAGAAGGTGATTAGCTACACCTGATTAAGTTTACAAATCACTTTTAGGATGGTGTGATCCTTTTTACAACTCGGTAATTCTGTTTTTGAAATTTTTTTTTTTAATTCTGACATATCCGTGTAAAATCTTTCACTTGGATGTTATAAGTTGCACTTATTAAATACAGCTGGATAAAAGAAAAACTAGAATCAAAAATTATAATGTGTCCTTAAGTTAAAAAAAAACAAAACATTTGCTGTAAGGGAGCTGTCGGTATATAAGTATACATAAAGTCCTGAGACTTTATTGAATTGCAAACTATCACTTTGCTTTATTACTGGATATTAATTTTTTGGAACTTCCCTTACTGTATCGGTGGCTTCCATAACAGGCATTTACCAAAAAATGTGGGGGGCGCTGTACTATAACTGGAGCACTCAGAATCTGGTGCAGCTGTGCATGGTAGCCAATCAGCATCCAACTTGATCAATTAAGCATTGAGAATAAACATGGATGGTGATTGACTTCCATGCAGAGCTGCACCAGATTGTGTTGCGGTTGCCATTTTGATAGAGAAAAGAGGGCTTTGCTTTCTCATGTCAGAGCTGCCCCTGATGACTTGTGATCTGATTCCTAGCAGGGAAATATTCAAAAAGCAGCAGGATAGATGCAGAAAGAACACATCCACAGAATGGATAAAGCAGAAGCAGGGCAATCCTTGTTCTGCAGGTCCTCGGATGCAATTTCACTCCAGCAAGTCAAACCGTGAACAGCACAGAAGTGAGATCACCAAATATTGCTCCAAATCTCATGAGACTAGCAGTCACAGATGCATTGTCTTAGATGATCTCACACTACAGATATACAGCTATTAGAATTTAGGCACAAAAAGAGCACTGCTAATTTATTAGGAAAAATTCAAGACAAAATATGTATTGTTAGGGTATTGCTTAGGAACAATTATTATTATACAGGATTTATATAGCTCCAACAGTCTGCGCAGCACTTTACAAAATAAGGGGTAGACATTACAGTTACAATACAATTTTGTATAAAAGGAAACAGGGCCCTGCTTGTTAGAGTAGCAATTCTGGATGTTCACTATAAGATGGCACATCATCACTTTTTGAGTTCAGGCCCACTTTGTCCTTTGTAATTCGAATGTAAATTAAAGATTGCATACGTAGTGCCTCAATTATGTAATGCTTCTATGTCAATTGATAAGCTAACAAAAACCACTGCCAGCAAAATATTAATTGGGCTCTCTATACCCCTACAAACACTAAAAAAATTGAGATGGGGGAGGGGGTGTGACTGGTAATTCTGTCTGATAGGTTGCTGTCTTCCTTAGCCCTCAGTTGTGTATCCCTCTTTCTTTAACTGCTCACAATGCTCGGTACACTAATTTTTTTTTTCTGGTTCCAAAGCAATGGCTTTCCAAGAAAGTGTATTTTATAATTGTACAAAAGCAAACTAAAATATCAAACAGTACTGCAGGTGACATCTCTTATGGCTTATACCTCCCAGTCTCAGCAATCCTGAGCCTTTTGAGAAGCTGTATCGTATTATACTGTACAGTGTATTGGCCTTCTCATGTTTGTTTTTTGTTTTGTTTTTTCTTTTTTTTTTAATTTGAACCTTTAGAATCACATTAAAGCAGAATGAATAGTGGCACAAATACTCACCTATGCTCTAACAGTCCGACACCCACGAGGTCCCTCGCCAGTGATGGTTCCTTCTCCCCGGCTGCAGCCGGGTGCTGACTTTTGACTGTCTTGTTTGGCCAGTGCAGGATGACATCACTCCCGCAAATTTACGGGAGTCCTTTGTCCCAGCACCCTGGAATTGTACCGGAAATGTAAACAGAGCTGCAGTACATTCTGCTAAGAATTGCAAACAGGCATGTAAGTTTATTTTATTGCAGAAGAGATACTACGTGTCTCTTCTGCAATGAAGAGCCCGCCTGTTAACAATTTATTTGTTGTATTCAGTTCCACTAAGACTGGATGGACAGAAATACAAATCCCTCAGCAGGTACAACAGTTCTCATATATGAACTTTGTGTATTTTGTGTTTTGCCCAGAGTTCAGATGTGTCTGCTTTGTGTAATGTAACATTTTTAAGTAAATGTGTTTTGTTTAACCTCTGCAGGCTACAGCTCCTGTGCCTCCCACGTCAGAAGAAGCAAAAGTTATCAGTTTAGTATTACGATTAAGGTAATCTCTGTTTTAAGCTATCAGCTGTATACTGGCATGGGCACAGCAGAAGGCTTGCTAACCTGTGACATACTTGGATGATTCAAACTCCGTGTATGAAGAGAGAATACTGTATATAAGCAAAGATTATTGTCAATGTTGTTGATTGATTCAGAGATATAGCTGGTTGAAGTTATAAGTATATTGCAAATTGTTGCTATAAAACCTGAGCTTGGCTTTGCCCTTCCTACCTCTTACAAGCCTTTCCTGTGGTCTGTAAAAAGGCAGGCTCACTGGCCTGTAGTGAAGATTGGTAAATAGGGTGAGGATAGTTGGGACCTTACACCATAAGGACACACCTTTGTGGATAATTGACCGTCGCACCTATATGAATATGTTGGACATGCTTTCTAAAACCATGGGCTTTAATATAGCGTTGTACCCCTCAGCCTCCTCTGTTCTGGGTAGGCTTTCCACAAGATTATGGAGGGTGTCTGGGGAACTTGTGCCACTTCAGCCATAAGAGCATTTGTGAAGTCGTGTACTGATGTTATGGTCCTGGATTTGTGCACAGGGGTACAGTTATGCTGGACCAGAAAAGAGCCTTCCGCAAACCGATGCCTTATGGTTGGATGCCCAAAATTGTATACAATGTGTTTGTATGATGTATTCTTTACTGGAAACAGTAATGTGGAGGAGTGAGCACATATTTTTGGCCATATAGGTGGTTATGATGGTGAGGTGAGCATAGAATTTGGTCATATACTCTATAACTTCAGCAGGCTCCTTGTTGGAATCCCATAATCAACTGACATGACGTTTTCACTGAACAAAACCTCTGCGTATACATCTTTTTTTTATCGTACATCCTGAGACACAGAGCAGGCTATTCCCATGTGGGTTATATGCCACCTTTAATAAATGGACACTGGGCGACCAATCAAACAGGAAATCCTCCACCAAATAACCTGTCCTACACAGGATGTACTTCAGTTTTTTGCCAGTGTCTGTAAGGTGGATGGTCACTGATGTGTTGCATGTGCCCTTGGAGCATACCTGAATGTTCAGAACAGTTCTATTGAGAATCGGAGATGTCAGTCAGATCCATTCGAAAAGCTGTTAACCAAACTGGATGGTACCTGAGCCTCACTGGATAAGGAGAAGAATCCTTGGGGTTTTGCCTGTAATGCATCCTTTCGTTGCAAGACCCCGTGTAACGGAGCCCTGTGCAGTAGATGACTGCCCAAGGCTTTTTCCTGCGGGGTGCTGTACAGGTCTAAGGGAGTGAACCCCAGAAAAACATAGTGAGACCGAGTCCTTGAAGGCCAACATGACAAAGTCTACTGTGATGGGTGAAGGTTGGTCCCTGGCTGAACTCAGAGGCCTGCGGCGGGATTGGTGAATTGACCTGAATTTTTTCTGAAAAAGAATAATTTTGTTTCTTATGTGTCTGAAGGCTGGCTACCAGGGGGAGCTCACTTATAGTCAGTTCTGTTTACTGCATGTGCCTGCATACGATGTCCTTATCTGGGCCACTAGAGGGAGCCTCTACTGGCTAAAGCTCAGGTGTCAAGCTGGTGGCCCTCCAGCTGTTGGCAAAAAAGGATTTTTTTTTTTTGTGTGCCATTTGGGCTGGCAATGGCCCCTCGAGTGTTTTTACAAAGGTTCTTGCTCCTGTGTTGGGGCTGCTCAGAACTCGAGTCGCTTTTAGGTTATCCGGACAATCTACTGCTCAGGGTTCAGTCTGTTCCAGGCTTGAAACAAAATGTGGATCTTGGGGTTCAAGGGTCTTCTTGAGAATGACGGCACAAATCAGAAAAATCATATTCTTTGTTTTGCCAGAAGGGCCCAGGAAGGGGCAGGAGGCATCCAAAGCAACTATTTCTCATTGGATACACCAGTTAATCATTCAAGCCTATGGTTTGAAAGGTAAGGTCCCACACTTTTGGGTGAGTGAGCACTCTACCAGAGTGTGGGGGGGCATCTTGGGCTATCTGCGATCAGGGATCAGTTGCTCAGGTTTGCAAGACCGTGACATGGTCTTCAGTTCATGCATTCACAAGGTTTTACTAAGTGGATGTCAGAGCTGCGGAGAATTCTTCCTTTGTTCACAGCAAATTACGAACGGCTGAGTAAGTCCTTTGGGATTAATGGAGGTGGTTATTATGGTGCTGCTCACCTTTCAGATTTTTTATTGCTTTAGGACATCCCAAATAGTCATGAATAGCTTCTGTGTCCTGTGATATACCATAAAGAAATCTAGAATTTTTGTACATACTTACCTGTAAAATCCATTTCTTGGAGTACATAGCAGGACACAGAGGTCCCTCCCCTGTTTCTGGAATTTCATTGCTTGCTACAAAACTGAAGTACTTCGTGTGTGTGCGTGTGTGTGTGTGCGTGTGTGTGTGTGCGTGTGTGTGTGTGTGTGTGTGTGTGTGTGTGTGTGTGTGTGTGTGTGTGTGTGTGTGTGTGTGGGGGGGGGGGGGCGGGGGGGTTATGTGGGGGAGGAATTCCTGTTTGATTGGTCACCCAGTGTCCATTCACCTATAGGTAATATATAACCCACATAATCATGAATAGCCTGATCTGTGTCCCATGATGTACTTCAAAAAATGGATTTTACAGGTAAGGAAGTAGAAAAAAAATCAAAATTTTTCATCATATCCTGTTTGTATCAGGTTTGGTTTAAACAGCTGTCACCACCTCCAGTGTAATCTCTTTACAGAAGAACAAAAGAACATGTTCTGTAATACATCAAATGATTTCTGCTGCTCACACTCTGTGTTCCTGCATGTAACCAAACAAAAAGTATTATACAGATAGTACCACACACTAATATGTACATGCCAACTGTATCACACTTTACTCAGTAATCTATACTCTCCAATATACCACACTCCCAGTGATAAAATGTGATAATATCCTCCCAAAAATTGTGTTTGTTATATGAATAGAATATCATAAACGGAGTCCCAGTTGAAAAGTTAATGTTCATATAATATCCACACAGTTCCTGTGTCTGTGCCTTTAGTTTATACTTCATTCATGAAGTTTCTTATCCATGTTTTTACTATCCACCATATATAGTGCTTTTTCCCTTTAAGGTGGGGTGCCCATACAAGGAATGGTGTTTCCTTCAATGGTATCTGGGTAGCAGTTAATCCATCTCCATACTAGGCTATCTTCCACATAATGCATATAGAAAGCTCAAAAAATAAGGGTATACAGTGGACAAAATTATCTGATCCCCTGCAGATTTTGTACGTTTGCCCACTTACAGAGAAATGAAGGTTCTATAATTTTTTTATCCCTCCATAAATTTTCTATAGAATCAAGGTCTGGAGACTGGCTAGGCCTCTCCATGACCTTAATGTGCTTCTTCTTGAGCCACTCCTTTGTTGCCTTGGTGGTATGTTTTGGGTCATTGTCATGCTGGAAGACCCATCTTCCATGTATTGGCTGAGGGAAGAAGGTTCTCATCCAAGATTCTACAATACATGGCCCCATCCATTGGCCCCTCAATGCGGCAAAGTTGGCCTGTACCTTTAGCAAAGAAACAGCCCCAAAGCTAATGTTTTCCACCTCCATGCTTGACGGTAGGGATTGTGTTCTTTGGGTCATAGTCAGCATTTTTTTCCTCCAAACACGGCGAGTCAAGTTAGTGCCAAAGAGCTCAATTTAGGTCTCATCTTACCACAGCACGTTCTCCCAATCCTTCTCTGAATCATTTAGATGTTCATTGGCAAAACATCAGATGGGCCTGTACGTGTGCCTTCTCCATGACAGCATATTTTGTTACCAATGGTTTGTTTGGTAACTGTGGTCCCAACTGCCCTGAGATCATTCACAAGCTCCTCCCATGTAGTTCTGGGCTGATCCCTCACTTTTCTTATGATCATCCTTACTCCTTGCATGGAGCTCCAGACCAAGGGCGGTTGATGGTTCTTTTGTATTTCTTCCATTTGTGAATAATCTCTCTAACAGTTGTCTCCCTCTCACCAAACCTTTTGCTGATGGTCTTGTAGCCCATTCTAGCCTTGTGTAGGTCTACAATCTTGTCCCTGACGTCCTTAGACAGCTCTTTGGTCTTGCCTATTTTGGTGACATTTGAATGGAAGAAAGAGATTCTGTGGACAGGTGTCTTTTATACACATAAGGAGTTGTCATTAGGAGAACCTTCTTAAATTGACAGGACTAATCTTTGTACAACATAGCCACATGTGTTCTGTGTAGCACATAGCCAGTCTGTGGGAGCCAGAATTATTGTTGGTAGGGGAGCAAATACTTATTTTACTTACTGAGCTGCAACTAAAATATTTGAATTGTTTTTTTTCTGGATTTTTGGTTGATATTTTGTTTCTATCATTTAAAATACACCTATGATAAAAATTATAGACTTACAAAATCTGCAGGAAATCAAATAATTATTTTCCCCACTGTAGGTGTAATTTAAATGACAGAGACAGAGTATCAACCAAAAATCCAGAATAAAACACATGATACAAATGTTATAAATTGAGTTGCAGTTCAGTGACAAAAATAAGTATTTGATCCCCTACCAACCAACAATAATTCTGGCTCCAACAGGCTTGCTATATGCTCATGTCGTACACAGATTAGTCTTGCCAATTTAAGAAGGTGCTCCTAAGGACAACTCGTTGTGTATAAAAGACACCTGTCCACAGAATCTTTCTTCCACCTCACCATCACGGGCAAGACCAAAGAGCTGTCAAAGGACATTCGGGGACAAGGTTTGTAGAACTCCACAAGGCTGGAATGAGCTACAAGACCATCAGCAAGAAGCTTGTTGAGAAGAAGATAACTGTTGAAGCGATTATTTGCAAATTGAAGAAATACAGAATAACCATCAATTACCCTTGGTCTGGAGCTCCATGCAAGATCTCTCCTCATGGGGTAAGGATGATCATGAGAAAAGTGAGGGATCAGCCCAGAACTACACAGGAAGAGCTTGTGAATGATCTCAAGACAGTTGGGACCACAGTCACCAAACAAAACATTGGTAACAAAATATGCCGTCATGGAGAAGGCCCATGTACAGACCTGTCTGAAGTTTTCCAATAAACATGGGCATGGACCAAAATCCCCCCTGAGATGTGTGCAAACCTGGTAACCAACTACTCACTGAACTGCAACTCAATTTATAACATTTATATCATGTGTTTTTTTTTTCTGGATTTTTGGTTGATATTCTGTTTTCTATCATTTAAAATACACTATGATAAAAATCATAGACCCTTCATTTCTTTGTAAGTGGGCAAACTTACAAAATCTGCAGGGGATCAAATAATTATTTTCCCACTGTACAAAGTGCTTTCTGTATATCCGGCAATATTTTTAAATTTATAAAACTCCCCTTAAAAGTGCACTATAACTGGTGCACTGCAGAATACATAGACTGCTCAAAAAAATTGAAAGAACACTTTTTAATCAGAGTATAGCATCAAGTCAAACTCCTGGGACATTGATCTGGTCAGTTAAGTAGCAGAGGGGGTTGTTAATCAGTTTCATCTGCTTTGGTGGTATTGAAATTAACAACAGGTTCACTAGATGGGCAACATTGAGACGACCCCCCAAAACAGGAATGCTTTTATAAGTGGAGGCCACTGACATTTTTTTTCCCTACTCATCTTTTCTGACTGTTTTTCACTAGTTTTTACATTTGGCTAGGGTCAGTGTCACTACTTGTAGCATGAGGCGATACCTGGACCCTACAGAGGCTGCACAGGCAGTCCAACTCCTCCAGGATGGCACATCAATACGTGCCATTGCCAGAAGGTTTGCTGTGTCTCCCAGCACAGTCTCAAGAGCATTGAGGAGATTCCAGGAGACAGACAGTTCCTCTAGGAGAGCTGGACAAGGCCATAGAAGGTCCTTAACCCATCAGCAGGACTGGTATCTGTTCTTTTGTGCAAGGAGGAACAGGATGAGCACTGCCAGAGCCCTACAAAATGACCTCCAGCAAGTGAATGTCTCTGATCAAACAATCAGAAACAGACTTCATAAGGGTGGCCTGAGGGCCCGACATCATCTAGCGGGCCCTGTGTTCACTGCCTGGCACCATATAGCTCGATTGGCATTTGCCATTGAACACCAGAATTGGCAGGTCTGCCACTGGCTCCCTGTGCTTTTCACAGATGAGAGCAGGTTCACCCTGAGCACGTGACAGACGTGAAAGGGTGTGGAGACCGTTATGCTGCCTGTAACACGTTCAGCATGACCATTTTGGTAATGAGTCAGTGATGGTCTGGGGAGGCTCCATGGAAGGACACACAGACATCTAGACAGGCTAGACAATGGCACCCTGACTGCCATTAGGTATCGGGATGAAATCCTTGGACCCATTGTCAGATCCTACACTGGTGCAATGGGTCCTGGGTTCCTCCTGGTGCATTGCCCAGCTTCATGTGGTGAGAGTATGCAGGCAGTTCCTGGAGGATGAAAGAATTCATACCATTGAATGGCCCCCACACTCGCCTGACCTAACACCTCTGGGATATCATGTTTTCGGTCCATCCGACGCCCGCCAGGTCGCACCTCAGACTGTTCAGGAACTCAGTGATGCCCTGATCCAGATCTGGGAGGAAATACCCCAGGACACCATCCATTCTCTCGCTAGGAGCACGCCCTGATGTCAGACATGCATACAAGCATGTGGGAGCCATACAAACTACTGAGTACCATTTTGAGTTGCTGCCATGAAATTTAAGCAAAATTGACTAGCCTGCTGCATCCTTTTTTCACTTTGATTTTCTGGGTGTCTTTGAATTCAGTCCTCTGTAGGTTGTAAATTTTCATTTCCATCAAACGATGGGGGCATTCTTGCGTTCCTAACACATTTGCCAGCCCCTATCAGTATAGATATCCAGCATGATATTTTTCCCCATTGAGATCTGATGTGTTTTCAAAGTGTTCCTTTAGTTATTTTGAACAGTGCATATTGTGTAGGCTTTTGGTCTCATACAAAATGGCGGGCCGCTCACTTCTGGCCTGTGCGAAGTAATATCAGGCTCCTCCCTATGCTCTACATCATGGAGTCACATGACTACATCTGGGATTCATACAGAAATACTTTTAACTTTTTTTTTTGTTCCCATTTTCTTGTAAAAATATTTTCATAGACTGGATTTGTTAATACTCATGTTTTTATTTGTGTACGTGATCGATCATTCTTGTGGGTGTAAAATGTGCAGTATATATTATTTTAACTGCGGTCTAAGTTTTCAGTAAATTGCACCAAACTGCAAAAGATTGAACCAATCCTAAGACGACTTCTTCATTTACATGTTCATATTTTTTTTTTTTCTAGAAACACAAAGAAAGAACTCAATGATATTCGGTTTGAGTTTACTCCTGGAAGAGGTAAGATAGATTTTGTGTCTTCATTTTGAAACATAACTTCATGTAGAACAATGACTGTAGTTTTTACATACCACCTATCTAGTTTATATAAAAGTGTATTACACATTATAGATATGATATCATAGACCTAGAACATCCACTCTCTGCCAGCTCAATTAGTGTCTGTTTTCTAGATACAGCCGATGGTGTGTCCCAAGAACTGGTCTCTGCTGGTCTTGTAGATGGACGAGACTTAGTAATAGGTATTTTTTTTTTTTTTTTTTAATTAATTTTTTTTCAAATGAATATAAAATGTCACTATACAGTGAACATAATGGTACGTTGGCATACAAAGCATGAAAAGATTTACTGTATATATAATGCAGAGTTTAGTTTACACTTTTGAAAGTCTGTTAAAGTGTTCAGTAAAGGTAAAATTTTATCATCCCTGACTGTGTTTGTGTCCCATTGGAGAGATTTCTGTTTACTTCCTGTTCCATAGTTGAAAGAGGAAGTGAAAGGAAATCTCTCCAAAGTGATGGAATCCTGGTGTGTAACCAGAGTCACCAGAACTAGTGTCCCTATTTGGAAGATTTCTCCTCTATTACAGTTCTGGTGTCAAATCCCATAATTTGCGATTTTCTTTTAATGCCCCTTTCACGCGGGCAGAATCCTCTTGCTCAGTGGGGGATTTGTCTGCTGATCACCCACTGAGCAGAGCAGGTGGGTGACAGGTCCTTATCCACTCCACTTATGCAGAGTGGACACAGCCCACTCTGCTCTATGGGCGGTTGGATGTAAACCACCGGCTGTCTATTTACACCTGACTACCCTAACAATCTGATCCTCCCAGACAAAGGAGAATGGATCCCCTTCCTTTTGTTTTTAGTGGATCGGATCGGAGATAGGTGGATATAAATGGACACAAGTTTGTTTACGTTTGCCGCTCCAAAAAAGAGACTAGAGGGTTTGATCGGGTCCATCTGAAACACCGCCCTGATCATTGTGTGAAAGGGGCCTTACTTACAATAACAACAGTAAAAAAAATACAAATAGGGTAATCTCCCTAAAGAGGGCACAAAAATCAATAAAAATGGACAGATGTTCAATCTCTCTCCACTATATCCAAAACTAAAAAAAAAAGAAAAAAAAAAGGTTTGGCCTTTAGTAATAATTTAAAGAATATGTAAACCCGACATTTCATATTCCTGATATGTGACTGCTGTACTATGAACTTGTATGAAAAAGTATCCTGTTCTCTTTGTAATGCTCTTTTTGTGTGAAATCCCTGATGTTCCTGCCAGGCCCTCTGCTTTCCTTTTACAAACTGACCACACTAAGCCAGAGAACACACTGTGGTCAGTTCTGTAGCTGTGCTGGGAACTCAGTGTGCTCTCCAATGATCAGACTTGTCCTGGCACCCCCCTGCAAAGCCTTTCACTGGGAAGCTCAGTGTGCTGCTGTTTCTTCTCCCCTAGCCCTTATGCAGCTGAGAACTGAGGGTGTGTAATCTCCTTCTAAAAAAGGGGAAATAAGGTATATAATGTTATATCTGTATACAAAGGTTTTGCCTTTTATTTCTATTTTAAACTGGATATTTATCTATTTATTTTAGGTACTTATATAGCGTGGTCAATTTACGCAGCGCTTTACATATATATTATACATTCACATCAGTCCCTAAGGCTGGCCATACATTATACAATTTTCTTTAGAAAATTGCTTTAGATTTACCAAAAACCATATAATAGGAGGTCAAACCTAAACAACACTTTCAATTGTATCCAATTAACCACTTCCAGACCGGACACTTTTACCCCCTTCCTGACCAGGGCAATTTTCAGCTTTCAGCGCTATCACACTTTGAATGACAATTGCGCGGTCATGCAACACTGTACCCAAATGAATTTTTTACCATTTTTTTGAGACAGATAAAGCTTTATTTTCGTGGTATTTATTCACCGCTGGGATTTTTATTTTTTTTTGCTATGTAAATGAAAAAGTCCAAAAATTTTGAAAAGTTTTTTTAATAAAATTTTGCAAATAAATAATATTTCATCATAAATCTTGGCCAAAATTTATTCCATTGTCTTTTTAGTAAATAAAAAATCCAAATTAGTTTATAACCAAAAATTATAATTTTTTTAAACCTTTTGTTTTTACATTTTTTTTTATATTTTTTTATTATTTTTTACATACTGTCACCCTAGCAGTACAGTGTCACCATGGTGACACTGTACTACTTGTGGGGGGTGATGAAAGATTTTTTTTTTTTTTTTTACACTGATTGCTTTTACACCCATATAGGATGTAAAAGCAATCATTTCTCCTTCTCTTTGTCTGCATTCTTGCACTCATTGAGAAGTACTGAGTGAGCTGTGATTGGTCACAGCTTGTCCACATGGTACAAGGCTGTTGTGAATAGCCTTGTACCATGTGACCTCTGTGATCATTCACAGATTTCACACGTAGTAAGCAATGATGTCACAAGTGACATCTTGCTTACTACTTTGCATGTGATCACTGATTGGCCAATCAGTGATCACATGACCGGGACCTCGTACAGAGGTCCCGTCCGACGATCGGTGTATCACTGTGGGCACCGGATCGCGGTGTTGCGCGCTCCCAGGGAGTGCGCACAAGCAGGGTGCGGGGAGGCCGTTTATAAACGGCCACCCGACCCTGCAGTGCCACCGTCCGGCCGTTTATATGCAACGGCCGTCGGGAAGTGGTTAAGCAAGCCCTCGCACTACCTAGTTGAAGGTAAATCTAAAGGAAATTGGACAGAAAATTGTATAGTGTATGGCCAGCCTAACCCTCAAGGGGTGTACAATCTAAGGTCCCTAACTCACATTCATACATACACCTTTTAGGGCCAATTTAGACAGGATCCAATTAACCTATGATGTTTTACAAGGTGGGAGTGTAAAATCACTTTAATTCTACTTACATGACAGCACACAATGCTTAGCTCCTCTGTCCTGTGCTTTTGTTCTCCTGTAACAGGATCTTGCATCAGGAGTACATAAAACAATACCAATAAAGGTGCCCACATGCATTCGTTAAATATCATTCAGTATGACTGGTTTTTACTCTCGGAGGATGGTAAATGACTGTGTGTGCTCAGATTACATCATAACAGTTGGGTACATTACCAGTCTATAATACCCCTTCAATACAAGACTGTTTTTCAGTTTACACTGCTCTGATAGTTTGACAATTTCACATCATGCAACACTGTACTAATTATTTGGTGGCATTTAATTATCACTTTTTTCTTTTTAACTATAAAAAAAGAAAAAAATAAGAAAAATAAATATAACGTGTTTCACTTCCTGTGTTAACTGTTCAAATAAAAAATGACAAGACGGTACAAAAATCACCCAAGTAATCTCTTTTTGGAAAGTGGTCACATGATCCCCTATCAGAACACAGTGTTTTACTGCTTTCCAGAGCTGTGTGATATCATGCAACATTTTTACATAATACCGCACCACTCTGGAAGGCCCTGCATGTCACTGTACAGCAAGCACAACGCACCCGCTGCTTGTGTGGTGACATGAATGAAGTTTCACTTCATATAAAGTTCAGTCAAAAAAAGGTAGTGTGTGATGTGAAAAAACGCACATCTTACCGCACTGTGTGGGCAGTAGTGTTTGTGGGCTGTGGGGTAGTGTGAACAGGCCCGAAGGATAACTTCACCTTTTAATTATGTTTTTTTCTTGGGATAGTACTTGCCTTCACCGATATTTTTTTTGCCGTGGTCCTGGATGGCTGTGCCTCATATTCAACATGTGCGCCATGCTTCGTTTGTGAAGCTTACCTGATTTAGAGCAGGGTGGATAAAATCGATTTTAAAAAAAAAAAAATAAAACTGATTTTTATTTATTTATTTTTAATTTAAATCAGATTTTTTAAATTTTTATCAAATTTATTTTAATAAAATGCTTTTGGAGTAAAGGTCTATCTATCTAAAGATAGTTTTGTTTTTAAGATGCATTAATAATTGAGTTTTATTCAGCATGAAATGGAGCTTAGTAATGTAGCATAAGGCTGTATATTCTGCAATATTTACATTTTTTGGTAAATTTATTCAGTGAATCCAAGCTCTGCAACAACATAACATGCACTGCATTGATGCATTCACACAATTTCACAGTAACCGTGAGAAAAAACATGAAATAAAAGAATTTGAGTAGTTCTCCAACTATGTATGATTAACCTATTAACCTATCTGTTCTGAGATCGCTGTTTTACTAACCTCACTGTTTATTATTCTAAAAAGGAAACCTTCATTTGGTTTGCAAATATTAAAGATTCTAACTACCAGCAAGAATGAGCCAGATTCCTTACATTTAAAGAGCACCTGTCATTTTAGATCCATCATGGCAGTGCCTGTTAGCAGGCATCCACTCACCTGCTGCCGCCACATCCCTCACCTTGTTGTTTCACTGCTGCATCACCAGCCGCCCCATTAAAGTGAATGGGACTGTCGGTGAGTTAACAGCGGGGTTAGAGGAGGAGATGATGCTTGCTCTTTAAAAATGATTTAAATCAAGCCTTTTCACTAGTGATTTCAATCAAATCCACCCTGATTAAGAGGTTTATACTATGAAAAAAAAATTTGCAAGTAGACTAATACGGCTAGAATCACCTCATGCCTGTATCTCAGATAGCCCTTTTGATTTGACTGACTGGTCCCTCTATCTGGAAGAATAAATTAGCAGGTCGGTCTCTTCCTAACCAGATTTTCTGTCTCTCAACCAGTTGCTGCCAATTTACAGAAGATTGTGGAAGAGCCACAGGCTAACAGAGCAGTCACCTTCAAGTTGGTAAGTAATTTTAAATAGTTCATTGCCTAAAGCTGATCTCCAGTTTTAAGTGAAATTTAAGTAGTTTGTTCGGTCCAAGCTGGTCCAAATGAACTATTTACTTCACTAGGAGATTTCCTTCCCATTCCTGGAGCAAAATCAAGTTCGGCTGAACGGTGCTGAGCCATTCATAGAAAGCTTTGTATTCTTTGAATGAATACGAAACTTCCTCTGATTGACTGACTGAATCGGAGAGGTGGGCTGATGACATGATGAACTCCAACTCCATTCAGAGGAAGCTTTGCGTTCATAGAGTACAACGCTCCCTGTGAAGTCCCCGTCCTGCTGGTACACACATGCACTACACAGCATCAGGTACAGCCGCTGCATCTCTTAGTGAAGTATTAGTTTGGACCAGCTGGGTCCAAACAAACTATTTAGGCTAAAACTAAATTAAAAGCTGGAGATCAGTTTTAAAGAGGATCGCATGTAAAATCCGACAGGCTGGTTGTACCAAAGTCGATCAATCAACTTGGGTACATTTAGCCTGCCCATGCATGGTTTGAATATCAACCGTTCCCTGTTGAACTGGCCGACATTCGAACCATCTATGGCTGGCATTATATGTTGGTTAAGGATGGATAAGCTGTCAGATCAGGTGTTTTATTGAAAATAAAAAGTGGTTTCCAACACCAGCAGACCTTTTCACAGCAAATATATGGCTACTTTTTCAAGCAGTGTATATCACAACTGAGTGGACATAAGATGTATATAATCACAAGGATATTTTCCAAAAAGTGATAGTCAGTTGTAATGAAGGAGTGAGTAGAGTCCTACAAGCTAGCTATTAACATTGTTGTTTGGAAAATCAAATGGTGGTGAGTAGTGGTCATGAAGGCTTTGCAAGTTCAACTCGGTGATCAGTTTCTATGCTGCTAAAGTCAACTGTCCTGTGACCTCCTGATGCCAGTGGAGTGAGTATCTGTCACCCTGTGTTTAATGAATTTCTCATTCTGGTGTCTCATTGATACTGAAAATGCTGACTGAAGGACTTCTAAAACTACTCCCTGTGGTTCTGCTGTAACTGAAGGTGGTACAATAAGATTGACATCTTGGTACGAAGAAGGCGGCTGACTGCAGCGTAGTATCTTTTTGTACTTGTAGGTCATTTATAACATAATACAGCTGTCTCACAGCAAGTAACATTGTTGGATTAATAACTGATCTGTTTGTGCACCGTTCTCTCTACAGGCCTCTGGGGTGGATCCTTCTGACATTCCAGACGATGGAAAACTCATAGGATTTGCACAGCTCAGCATCAGCTAAGTTGCAGTTTTTATGAGCTGCTTCTTAAGGAAACATCTACACCTTCATCTTTCTAATGCTTCTCTTGGCCTGAAGAACCACTACTGCCAAAGAATCAAAACTCTGGCTTGTTTTGGAGCTGTAACAACACCTATTAATTTCTCTCTTAACAGATGTCTCTAACTTAGTGTAACACACACTGAGAGGTCAGAGCTTTGTAACCGACAGCGAACAAAAGTGTTTCCACACATCATTCATTTGGATATTTTTTCTTCTTTTCATGTGAAACACGCTGGTTGCCTTTCTTAGTGCTGATGGGGCCGTCAGTAGTTTGTGCCGGCTGCCCCTCTGTCACTGTATAGGCTCAGCCAGATCTACTTGTACCTGTTTGTTACTGTTGCCTTATATACTACTGAGGATGGAGCTATGGGTTTCTACCACTCTTAAACACAAAAGGCAAAGAGAAATGAATTTTGGGATCTGATTTTTATTGGCTTTAATTTAAAGTGAACAGAAAAATAGTCTAAATAAAAACATAATTAATAATTTGAAACAGTCTCCTGTCTGGATTTATTTGCTTTATGCCTGACTTGAAGCTGGCCTTGGATACCAGGCGGTGGATAAGACAGTTCACATATGTGTATTTAGCATTTTGAACTCCAGGCAATCTGCTAAATATACATATCTGAACTTTTATCCACCAAAGGATTTTCAATTCTGTGCAGCCACTTTTGTAATTCATACATACCGCTCATAGACAGCACAGCTAGAAAGGTGACACCACTTCCTCTGTTAGATATAGGAAGTACACTTGTGTCACCTGCAACCTACAGATTGGACAGTGTAGTATCACCGGTTTTAATAAGTCTGCAACGTTGCTTGCTCTACTATCTCTTCCTTTCTGCGTATACCCTATGGGCACATGTGTACACAGTAGAGTCTGAATGGCTCCTAGTAGTGCTGTTCCCCTTACCAATTTAAGGCTGTATTAAACTAAAAACAAATTTACACAACACAGTTCTTAGGTGTGGTGGCTGCAATAGCTTTTCTTTTTTAGACTTTTTTTCCCCTTTATTTTCACCTGATGATCCAGCAAGGAAATCTGTTTTTTCATCTTCCTTTAACAGACTACGCTATCCAGACAAAGTAGCATTTATAGGGTTGAGAAAACCATTCAACACCATCAGGGGTGCTTCTAATGGTCAGTTGTTATTCATTTGTGTAAAACCTTTATACGCAGTTACAGCAAACTGTTTTTTTCCTTTTGAAATAAAGTGTGTTAGATGGAGTTCAGCTTCAATTTGTTAGTCAAGTGCATCTAAAGTTGTTAGTCCAATACTCCCCTTTCCCCAGACTGACAATGCTGCCCTGCAGACATGTCTGCTTTACTACTTCATCCACAATCCAGACACCATACGACAGTAAGTGTGTTATTGGCTGGATCACCAAGTAACATAAAGGGGAAAAAAAAACTAAAAAAGAAAACTATTGCAGCCACCATATCAAAGAAATGATGAGCTGCAATATATTACATTTTTGGTTTTAATACTGCTTTAGGTGCAGCTGTACAGAGAATGACAAAGGCTGATAAAACAGAATCAGCTGCTTAGGCCAGTGCTTCTCAAATAGTGGGGCGCGCCCCCAGGGGGGGGGGGGGGGGCGCGTTTGACCTCGGGGAACATACCGTATTTTCCGGCCGCCCCCCCCCCTTCCGACAGAATGGACACCAAGTACAGGGGTGGGCAGAGGGCTGCTGTCTCTTACCTGGCTCCCACGATGATCCATCCAGGAAGCGCTGCTCCTTCTGTCACTCCGGCCACTCCCTCACTCCTGCCGCTCGGCTCCGCCTCCTCACCGGTGATTGGCCGCCAGAACTGTAGCTCAGGAAAGGTACACAGGCGGCCAATCACGGGCGAGGAGGCGGAGCCGAGCGGACCTGCGAAAATCGAGTGAGGGAAAAGCCGGTAAGTGTGCAGTGCAGAGGTGCTGCTGCAACCACATATGCTGGCTGCAGCAGCACCATACTGCAACAGGGGTCAGCAAGTGTCATTTACAGTCGCGCGGGGGGGGGGGGGGGGCGCGCAAAATGTTTTTCTTCTTCCTAGGGGGGGCATGACAGAAAATAATTGAGAAGCACTGGCTTAGGCTAACTGTATATTAAGAAATACATTTAAGGTGTTTTTGTGCAAGATGATTTTGTCTCTTTACACCCTGGTCACATCAAGCACGACTTTTAAATCGTGCAACTTCACTAAGTCACACGATTTCAAAGTTGGGGGACATGCCGATTTCAGGTGCGATTTGTAAGACATCTGACACAGATGTCTCTGCAAATCGCACCAAAAGTAGTGCATGTACTACTTTAGAAATCGGTGTGGCTCTGACCAAACTACAGACAATAGGGTGCAACTTGGCATATGATTTGCTAATCGCATGGCATGCAAAATGCATGCCAAGTCGCACCTGATGTGACCGGGGTGTAAAGGAGATAAGGCTCATCATAGTGGTAGTTTTTCTACAGAGATTTCACATACATACCACCACACATACAAAGCTTAGAGTATCACTGTAGTGAACACTTTGGATTAGTTGTCATAGGTTGACCATTACCAGGTAGGTCATAATAAGGCTATTACTTTGTTACCTATAGTGAATAAGTGAAAGTTTGTTCTCTGCTGAACTGCTGTGCGGTAACATTATTTGTGTGTTATGTTGTATGGATGAACTGTGGACATCCAGAGGTCAGAGAGATAGAATATCCTGTAAATGAATGACAAAGCTAATTGAACAAGGAGATCAGACACTTAGAACATTTTCACCTACTAACAATCACAATACAAATGGAGAGTCCAAGGGTACGCCTATAAAAACCCACGCAAGGAGGAAAACAGCAGTGTAAGCTTTGAAAAGCAATAAGATGATGCTGAAGGTTTCACTTAAGGTGATTGTAAAGTCTTCTTTTTTTTTTTTTTTTTAAAATAACAAACAGGTCTATACTTATCTTCTATGCAACGGTATTGTATATAGCAGCCCCAAACCTCTTCTTATCATGTCCCACACCAGCACTCCTGGCTCCTCCTCTTCTGTGAATGCCCCCACAGCAAGCAGCTTGCTATGGGGGCACTCATGCAAGCTCGTTCCTGAGCCTCATGCCTGCCTGTGTCCATAGAAACAGTACAGCTTGGCCTTGACCCCCCTGCTCAGTGAAACTGACTGATGGCAGGGACGAGCAAATGGCTTCCACTGTAGCCTGTCGGTCCCCATATGAAAAGGGAGAGCAGACTGCAGCTGGGCTCAGTACAGGATCGAGTGAGGTAAGTATAAGAAGGGTGAGCGGGCAATACTGCTACCTAAACATTGTTTACCTTAATGCAGGGATAGGTAAAAAAATGTTTAGTCTTTACAACCACTTAAAAGGTGAAGTTCACTTTTTTTTTTTTTCCCTAAATTCCAGTTTCTCTATGTACCAATATGCAATGCTCAAAAAAAATGAAAGGAACACTTTTTAATCAGAGTATAGCATCAAGTCAATTAAACTCCTGGGATATTGATCTAGTCAGTTAAGTAGCAGAGGGGTTTGTTAATCAGTTTCAGCTGCTTTGGTGGTAATGAAATTAACTGGTGCACTAGATGGGCAACAATGAGACAACCCCCCAAAACAGGAATGGTTTTTATAGGTGGAGGCCACTGACATTATTTTCCCTACTCATCTTTTCTGACTGTTTTTCACTAGTTTTGCGTTTGGCTAGGGTCAGTGTCACTACTGATAGCGTAAGGTGATACCTGGACCCTACAGAGGTTGCACAGGCAGTCCAACTCCTTCCGAATGGCACATCAAAACGTGCCATTGCCAGAAGGTTTGCTGTGTCTCCCAGCACAGTCTCAAGAGTATGGAGGAGATTCCAGGAGACCGGCAGTTCCTCTAGGAGAGCTGGACAGGGCTGTAGAAGGTCTTTAACCCATCAGCAGGACCGGTATCTGCTCCTATGTGCTAGGAGGAACAGGGTGATTATGCTGCCTGTAACATCGTTCAGCATGACTGTTCTGATGGTGGGTCAGTGATGGTCTGGGGAGGCATATCTATGGAGGGATACACAGACCTCTACAGGCTAGACAACAGCACCCTGACTGTCATTAGGTATCGGGATGAAATCCTTGGAACCATTGTCAGACCCTACGCTGGTGCAGTGGGTCCTGGGTTCCTCGTGGTGCATGATAATGTCTGGCCTCATGTGGCTAGAGTATGCAGGCAGTTCCTGGAGGATGAAGGAATTGATACCATTGAATGGCCCCCCTGCTCGCCTGTATTAAATCCAATAGAACACCTCCGACTGTCCAGGAGCTCAGTGATACCCTGGTCCAGATCTGGGAAGAAATACCCCAGAACACTATCTCATTAGGAGCATGCCCCAATGCTGTCAGGCATGCATACAAGCACATTGGGGGCCATGCAAACTACTGAGTACCATGTTGAGTTGCAATGAAATTTCAGCAAAATGGACTAGCCTGCTACACCATTTTTTCACTTTGATTTTTGGGGTGTCTTTGAATTCAGTCTGCTGTAGGTTAATCATTTTCATTTCCATCAAACAATAAGGCATCCTTACGTTCCTAACACATTACCCAGTCCATATCAGTATAGTTATCCAGCATGATATTTTCCCTATTGAGATCTGATGTGTTTTCAAAGTGTTACCTTAATTTTTTTGAGCAGTATATCATTAATGTAGCTCTGTTGCAAAAAAGAAAAAGCTTTTCCTATATTCTAGGGCAGGCATAACTCAGCTACAGTTTCTTCTATAGAAAACTTCATGATTTCCTGGTGTCTTATAGGACATGAAAAACCATTTAGTAGAATGAGAAAGTAATTCATCAGCTGTCCTCTTAAAACATACCCTGCACCTGCCCTCCCCTCCCCCTCCAGGAGACTGCTCTCGCCCACCTCTATACTTACATGCTTCTTCAATGCAGCCTTTGTCGGTGAGCACTGTTCTCCCTGAATACACAGCTAGATCATTCAT